GACAAAAAAGATTATTTTGTAGGATGCTTTTCAGCATTATTAATAGAATCACTGCTATCTGTTGGCTCAATTTGTGCAAATTTAACCAGGAGTCTATCTAGTGATGCTCACTTTTACCTCCTTTTGAGGATTTTGTGGAAATGACATTACAATGTTGTTGTTGTTTTTTGTCTTTTTTGAGATGGGGTCTCGCTGTGCAGTTCAGGTTGGCCTTGAGCTCACTTTGTAGCCCAGGCTGGTTTCGAACTCACTACGATCCTCCCACTTCAGCCTCCCGATGCTGGGATTGCAGATGTGAGTCACCACACGCGGCTACATTACAATGTTGTTAAACAGATTCTTTGCTCACACTGCTACAGCCTTATTCAGGTAGTGCTTTTCTACAAATTTTAGTTTCCCACATTTTTACATCTTCCTAATATCATATGAGGTGAAGATTCTGGGCTGGTGATATAGCTCAGCAAATAGCACCTACCTGGCGAGCACAAAGTCCTAGGTAGGACTCCCAGTACAAAAAACAAAAAGACATGAATGACTCCTCTACTTCTCTCTCCGGCTATGCAGATGAAGTCTCCATAACTTCTTGCTGTTGGAAGATGATGGCCAACAATTCCACAGCCAGAGAGAGGAGAGAGATGGGGGAGCACTGGCTCAGGTGTAATCATGTGACAGGCTACTTGTATTACAAAACATTAATTGTTTATCAAGTTAAAATTTACTACAGGTTTGGTCTGAGGATTTAGCTCAGTAGCATAAGTGCCTGCCTTGGAAGCATGTAGTTTGATTCCCCAGTACTGATTTTTAAAAAGCCTCTTAAAATTCATTAGAAATGTTTGCTTGTTTTGCAGAACACAGTTGCAATCCAAACTTTTCTTGTATATATGAAACTCATGATATATATACATATATAAATATTTCATTTCCAACATCAATCATTTACACTTTTCAGGAAGAATAAAATGGTTTCTCCTGGTGGTCCTGGAGATTGTACCCAGGAAGTGCTGAACCACATCCCCAGACCTTATTTTCTGCATCAGGGTAGAAGTTGCCCAGGCTGGCCTCAAATTTGAAATCCTCCTGCTTCACTGTCCCAAGTGGCTGGGGTTACAGTAATGTGCCACCACACCTGTGAAGTGAAACTTCTATTACAATGATCCTATCTAAATTAAAAATTTAAATATTAAAATATTAAAAATGCTGCTGCCCCCGCCCCAAGAAAACAAGTTCCCACGCGCTCACCTGCACTGAATGCACAGGTCTGAGTGCTGTCTCATGCAGGACCTGCTTTCCACTACGCTGCTGAGTGCTCATTGTCAGCATCAGAGGTGTAATTGGCTGGGGAAGTACCTGTGGTATCACCTAATGTTTGACTGGAGATAGTTAGCTCCTGATTTTTTTTTTCTTTTTCTTCTTTTTTTCTTTTTATTTTTTTTTTTTTTTTTTTTTTGTCTTTTTGAGACAGGGTCTCGCTATGCAGTTCAGGCTGGCCTAAAGCTCACTTTGTAGCCCAGGCTGGTCTCAAACTTGCAACGATCCTCCCACCTCAGCCTTCCGAGTACTGGGATTACAGGCATGAACCACCTCAACCGGCAGCCCCTGATTTTCTGAGGGCAGACTATTTGTTGTGGATTTTGTGTTTGTTTTTCGGTGCAATACTAAGAGTTGAACCCAGGGCTCTCACACATGCTAGGCAAGCACTCTACCATCCAGTTATATCTCTGTCCCTTTGATTTCATTTTGGGATGAGATCTTGCTAAATTGCCCTTTAGGGCCTTGAACTTGCAATCCTCCCTTTGCCGCCAAGTACCTGGAGTTACAGGCTTATGCCACCTTGCCCTGCAGGCCTTTTTAAATTAGGGAATGATATCAGGCATGGTGACACATGACAGCAGTCCCAGCACTCAGGAGGCTGAGGCAGAGCATCACTGAGCTTGAGGCCATCCTCAACTAAATAGACAGTGAGACCCTGTCTCAAAAAAATACATAAACAGGGTCAAATCCAAAGCCTCTACACTGGGCTACATCTTGAGCCCTTTTTAAATTTTCAAAACAGCATCCTGCTAAATCATTAAATTGCCCAAGCTGGGCAAGGTCTCCAGAATCGGCCTCCCCAGGCTGCAGGCATCACAGCCCTTCCCTACACCTAGCCTCCTCCTCTTCACTTTGGAAATCACAAGTGGAAGCTGTATTTATTTACATTTCCCCAAGGAAAGGATTTTCATTTTATTCTGAATGAGTTGGAAATTGAAACACTGATCAGATGGGTAACTGCTATGGTCTCAAGCTGTAAGGAATCATTCTGGCAGCACCCAGCCCGGTATTTTTGTCCCAGACCTTCTTACTCACTGAACCCTCACCACCAAGATGGGAGGAACTCTGCTTGATGATGAGGGGTAGGCTCAGGGAATCTGAGCCTTAGCCAGGGCTGTGCTGCTAGTTTAGGTCAAAGACAGGTCCAGGACGATTTCCGCACTCATAGTCCACCAACTGTTAACATGCATCCTCTGAGAAGACCTACTCAATTTTTCAGAAATGAGCCAGCCTGGAACTTTCTGGCTAGTCCCTAAAACCCTGAAATCTAGAGGGTGCTGTCTTCTGAGAGCTCTGTTATGGACCAGGGCAGAAAGGCCTGCAGCACTCCAAGGAAAAAGTCCTGGGCGGCTGGAGAAGATTCCAGGTTGGACACTGAGTCTGGGTGGGACAGAACCACCGGAAGCTAACTCGTAAACCATCTTTTGAGCAGCTCAGTTTAATGTTTGGCAGAGAACTTTGGTGAAAGGCTGGGAGGCTGGAGATCATTTGTCATTGAAACCCCCTGTTACCACTGGCAACCCAGTCTTCTCTCTGCCAGGAGCAGGACACTAAATGTTTCAGGGAAAAGTGTCAAAACAGCTAGAGATTTAGCTCAGTGGCATAAGCACCTACCTGGCAAGTATAAGATCATGAGTTTGATCCCTGGTATCAAAATTAAAAAAAGTTTTGAAACAGATATTTCATAACTTTCATCATTCTAATAACATTAATGCAATATGGTAAAATGTTAGCACCTATGAAGCAAGATTCAGACATTTGCATAACTCAAGGTACATAAAATTTACCATTAACATTTACTGTATTAGCATACCATATTCTGATACTTTACTATTACCGTTATTTAAAGCTAATTTTTCATTTTGAGATAGGGTCTTGCTACATAATCGATGCTGGCCTCAAATTTGCCATCCTGACTCAGCTGGGATTACAGGTGTGCAACACCGGACCTGACAAAACTAAATATTAGTATATTTGTATTTTTAAAAATATTTGTATATAAATATTAAAAAACTGGAGCCAGACGTGGTAGCTCACGCCTGTAATCCCAGCACTCAGGAGGCTGAGGTGGGAGGATTGTTGCGAGTTTGAGACCAGCCTGGGCTACAAAGTGAGCTTAAGGCCAACCTGAACTGCATAGCGAAACCTTGAAGACAAAAAAAAAAAAAAAAAAACACAAAAAACAAAAAACTGGACTTTGTCTCTTGAAATAGCACATACACTTTCTTTCTGATGACAAATGCATTCACAGTCTTTCCAAGATTCATTTTGGAAATTTCATGTTTCTGACAGTAGAAGTCAGTTCCTCCTAGTTAAATCCTCCCTAGGAGGATGTAAAATCTGAGGTGCCTCTGCCTCAGCAGTGAGATGGCTGCAGAGCCGCGCCACGAAGCCAGAGGGCACTGTTGCTGCCGCCTTCACCCAACAGCATGACGTCATACAGAGGAGAACCAAAAACATCAAGGGAACTATTGCGAAGTAGTCATTTAATTTTTAGGCCGAAGAAAAATCTGGTCAGTGTTTCCAGTGGGACCCCTGGGGTAGGGCAGCAGCAGGCAAGGAGGCCCTGGCTTCACCTTCCAGCACTGTTGCAAGCCTTATCTGTGCCTGTTGGCCTCCCACCTCCACTCCCATCCTCAGCAGGGCACAGCTGCAGCAGCAACTGCCTGATGTAGGGCTCTAGCCTTCAGTACACAATCTATTCTCCTGACCCTCTGCCCAGGACATACAAAACCACATGTAATTTTATGGGGTTCCTCGACCTGAAGCCCCTTCAGTTTCTAAGGCCCAGGTTAAGGCCTCCCTGTGCTGGCAATCTGAGCAGCCTAGCTGCCCAGGGAAGGTGGAGGGGGACGGAGCTGACGGAGAGACAGGCGTCACCTGACAGTTTTGGTTGGGGGCCAGGCCCTGGTTCTTAGGGCTCCCTGCCATTCTCAGAACAGAGGCAAAGGCCCAGGGTCCTTGCCCAGGGCGCAGAGCTCTTGTTGCCTTGAGGAGTAGCTTCATCTTTAACTTGCAGGCAGGGCGCTTCTAATTTGGGCTCAGCCTCCGTGGAAAAGAGGACAGTTGCTTTACGTAGCTTTCTACTGGGCCATGGGGGTCCGTTCCTCGGACTCCCGGGCCATTTTCTTCATTCAGCCAACATTCCCTAGCTCTGAATCTTGAGGTGAAGAGCTGCCCCTCAAGTCCACCTATCCCGGCCACCCCTTGGGCTCAGACAGCAGGCTGCTGGGAAAGGGCTCCCCAGGCTCCAGGTACTGCACCTCAGGAGAGGCAGGCAAGGGATTGCTGGGGACGCCTCTCAGCTGTCCACGCCCCCAAACGGCCAGAACGGGTTTGTATTCTTAACAGCCTTGAATGGCGATCCAGAGGCGGGACTGAATCTTAAGCTTCTGCCCATGGTCACTTTTCCCTCCACAAACACCCAACACTTTCTCCAGCTTCTAGAAAACCCAAGCCACAGAGGACAAGCACACTTAGACCAGACATTTCGATTTGTGTACTTTGCCTGAACTGCACGTTTGTAGCATACTAAGGCTCATTCAAGGGGGAGAAAAAAGGCAAATTATAAATTCCTTAACGGTTTCTTTGCAACTGTCCATGAACAATTCCGATACCTGTCCTGGAACGTGTCCTCACATAAATCAGCGCTTTTAAAAGTTAGCTCTACAAATGACACTGAAACTACATTACATTTACAAATATTAAATTTATTACAACTAGAATGAATTTAATGGTTCTCAGATTTGGCCACTTTATAGCTCCGTTTAAGGAGGGGATTTTTTAAAACAGAAAAATGCATTCTAACTTGGTCAAATTACACTATTAAAAAAAAATACTTCCTAAAAAGAAAACAGGAGAAGTAACCCTTCAGTTTCACATAATTAAGGAGAAAGCACGCAAGCGACATCACCGCGAGGTCGGCCGGCCAGCCCGCCGCGCCAGGTCCCCTCCGAGGCGCCCTAGTCCTGCTCGGGCGCGCGGGGCCGCTCGCTCTGGCGCAGCAGCCTCAGGTTCTCAGCGCGCAGCCGGTCCAGCTCCAGCTCCAGCTCCCGCACGCGCGCCTCGTCGCCGCCCGGCCGCCGGCTCTCCAGCCTCAGCCGGTTGTTCTCGTCCTCCATGCGCGACAGGCACTTCTCCAGCTCCAGGTATTCGCGGATGAGCTCCTGCTTGCTCATGTTCTGCAAGCTCTCCGCGTGGTAGCGCTCGTACGTCTCCGAGAAGTCCCGTTGCAGGAACTCGCCGCCGTCGCCGCCCATGCCGTCGCTGCCGCCGTCCTCCTCGCCAGCCTCCTCTAGGAAGTCCTCGTCGCTGCTGTCGGACTTAGCGGCGCGGCGCGGGCACAGGCCGGTCTTGAGGTCGGGCTCCTCCTGGTCGTGGTCGTCCATGAGAAACTGCGTGGTGTTGTAGGGCGCCACGGGCTGGCCCTTGGCAAACATCTCGGCCCGCACGCGGGAGGCGCGCAGGCTCTGCCGCTCGTCGAACTTGCGCTTCTCCTCCCAGCTCAGCTTGTAGTAAGGCTTCCAGTGCCGCTTCTTCTTGGACGGCCGCCGCCGGTGCTTCTTCTTGCCCAGCTGCCGCGGCTGTGGGCCCCACGCTGTCCTGGGGGCCTCAGCGTCCGGGCCGGGGGGCGCGGGGCTGGGCTCGCCATCCCCACCTGGGCCCGCTGCCCCGCCGCCGTCGCCGTCACCAGGGTCCTGCAGGGGCGCCGGGCTGCCCATGCCCCCCGGGGGTGAGGCCCGCGAGCGCCACCTGCCGTCGCCCTCGGACGCGCCCGCGTCGGCGGCGGGGGCCCGCGCGGGGCCAGGGTCGCTCGCACCTGCGCCGGGCTCGCCCGCGGGCGGCAGCTCCGACGGCAGCGGCTCGGCCATGGCCGGCGGCGTCTCCTCGAGTAGCGGGCGCGCGCGGGCCCAGGTGCTACGGGGCAAAAGCTCGTCCTGTCCTTCCACACAGCGTCCCGCAGAGTCCTCCGCCTGCCAACTCCGGCTGCGCCCTGGGCGCTCCCGCCGGGAAGGGGTTAGGCGGCGCGGAGCCAGGCAGCGCCGGGAAGCTCGCGGGCGTGGGTGTGGGCGTCACGCCGGGCTCTCCGAGGTGGCGGCGGCAGGAGGCTAGGTCGGTCGGACGGACGGCGGGACCTGGCCCCGAAAGGGTTAACGCCACCGATGACGCCGCACCGAGGGCCGAGCCCACAAAGGGTTAACTCCCCGCCGCAGCGCGCACAAGGAGTTAAAGTCCCGGCGCCTCCTCCTCCCACTTCCACGGATGTCGCTCCAACCCGCGCGCCCAGATCCTTAGGCCCGGCCGGAGCCTCAGCTGCGGACAGACAAACTCATATCCCCCGGCTCGACGCTTGCTCCGCTCAGTCCTCTGCCTCCTCCCTCCTCCCCTCAGACAGCTCCTCTTCCGCCTCCTCCCCACTTCCCTCCCAACCTGCCTCTCCACCTGCCAACTTCCAACTGCTGCCTCCTAACACTCTGCGCTCCTTTTATAGAGGAGCCCGCTCACGCCGCCTCTGCGCATGTGTAATGGAGGCCTGGCTTAGGGAAGCCGGGAGTCGTAGTCTTCATCTTTCAGGCCCGTCGTCCCCGCGCGTCGTGCAACGTAACCAATCTCAGGACGCGTAGGGGGCGTCTCCCGGGCCACCGCCTTCCACCGCGCGCCCCTAGCTGGAGGAACGCGGGCGACCATTGGTTGAGAGTCGCGCGTCACGGCTAGGGAGGAGAACCAATCGCAAAACAGAGGAGGAGGGCCCTGGACTGTACCATTCTGCTTCAGAACACGAGGAAATTCCACGGCCTGCGTGAGCCCAAGCAGAATATTTTCATAGCAAGGTGTATTTTAAACATTATGCCGTATTTTCTCCTCAGCGGAAGGGTTCTGACGGACCTAAACATTGGTGAATGTGAGCAAAAGTAGTTCATCCCTAAAAAGTAGTCCCTGAGGTGTGAACGAGGAACGAGCCTGCAGAGAGGTTTTGGGTGCAGCGCCGAGGCTTGCGTGCAGCCTGCTGAGGCGTCCGCGCCCGGGCAGGCGCCGCGGAAGGATACGCGGTCGTGTAAAAGACAAGGCGCATGTAGAAGTAAACAAATGAAGATTAAAAAGTGCCGCCTTAAAGGGGCAGTATAGTCGCGCTCGGTGCCCGGCTGGTGCCTAGGCCTTGGCCGCTGGCGTGTCTTGTGTGGCCGCGAGGAACATGTCCCGGCAGCTGCAGCACCCCGCAGGGTCCTCGTGCACCCTTGGCCGCTGGCAGGGTCGCCTCCACCGAGAGTCGTCCTGGGATCCTCACGCCGCCCGGGACTTCAAGGCCCCCGCGCTCGCCCCAGCCTCGGTTTCCCGCCGCCGCGACGCTGCCTAGGCGGACCCCGGCCCTGTCCAGAGCCCTAGTGATTCGCCCAAGGTCACAGGACTCTGGCGCAGGCTCGGTGACCCCATGCCGCTCTTGTCACCAACTCGAGGCCTGTGTTTCCTCTGGGTTACGCTTTGAGTTCTTTATGATCCCATTAGGGCTTCACCCCGAGGCAGTCCCGGCTTCCTCGGTCACCTGGGGAACACAAATGGCGATAAAAATGTTACCGTGGCCTCGATTGCTGGTGGTCGGCCACTGTGGTCTGCCACCGAGCAGGACTGACAGCCAGAAAAGTGCCCCAGGCCGGGGCGCTTAGAAGCAAACTGCTTCCCACCGACTGCAGAATGAAGAGTTTTTAGGCACAGTGTCCAAAGAAAGGCATTTTATTTTTTTATTTCTGTTTTTTTGAGATGGGGTCTCCGTCTTGTCCAGGCTGGTCACAAAATACTGGGTCCCAACATTCTGCCTCAGCTGCCTGAGTGGCCTGAAAATGCGAGTGTGTCTCACAAGACCAGCCATAAAGGGTCCTGCTCCAGGCCGTCGATGGGGAGGAGGCCGGAGAGCTTGGATGGCAGCAGCCGTGATGGGTGGCGGATGTGCACCAGGCAGGAGGGAACCACCATGCAGCCCGTGTCCGGCTCTTCTGAGAAGCCTGCCTTGTCTTCCTTCACTTAAGTCCCAGCAAGCAGGAACTCGGAGAGGCGGCTCTTTGCAGGGAAGTCAAAGCCTTCCACTTTGGCCTGAGTTTCAGGGTTCAGGTTTTCTCAGTCGGGGACTTGGAAGGTGTGGCTGAACCACCCTCACTTTACCAGCCAGGGGGCTCAGCTTGTTATCTGAGGGAGAGGGGACTAAACAGGCCGTGAAATTCTAGAATTCTACAAGGGACCAGACCCTTGACCCTTAGCTGTGTTCTGCCCTATGCAGGCATTCTACATGCTCAGCTGCTGGTAAACCCCAGGACTGCTCTTGTACAGCAATTGTTTCTGCTTCCTAAACCCAGCAACCCAAGCTCAGAGCTATGAACCAGGGAGGAATCTTGCCTATTCAGACCCATGATGGCACAGGCCTGGAATCCCAGCATTCTGGGAAGCTGAGGCAGGATGACTGCAAATTTGATGTCAGACTAAGCAATTTAACGACCCTGTTTCACTTTTTTTTTTTTTTTTGTCTCTTTAAGACGGTCTCTTTATGCAGTTCAGGCTGGCCTTGAGCTCACTTTGTAGCCTAAGCTGTCTCGAACTCGAAAGGATCCTCCTGCCTTAGCCTCCTGAGTGCTGGGATTATAGGCATGAGCCACCACGCCCGGCTCTGTCTCACATTTTTATTTTGTTTGTGTTTTTTGTCTTTTTCGTTTTTACTGGTACCAGGGACCACACACTTGCAAGGCAGGTGCTTATGCTGCTGAGCGAAATCCCCAGCCCGTCTCACATTTTTAAAGGAGGGTGTAATTTAGTTCAAAGGTCTTGGATTCAATCCCCAGTACTGGAAAAAAAAAGATAAGAAAACCCCAAATCTTGCCCAGGTTGAGAAGTGGGCTCCACCCCTCCCTGCACCCTCTACAGATAAAGTCTTTCTCCCACTCATGTGGGCTATACATGTCACTGTCAGAAGGGGTTTGTTCAACTTCTGTGGTAGCCCTGGGCAGCTGAGGACCTGGTCAGGTTCATCCTGAGGACTACCCTCCTGGCCAGGATAGGAACGGGCTGCGTGGGCCACACCCAGAACAAGGGTCAGGCTAGGGGTCTGAGGGTCTCCAGCAGCCAGGCATTTGGTGGAACCCTGGATAATGGGGTTCATCCCATTCCAGGTGAGAGCAGCAAGGACAGCAGAGAGCAGGCCAGGAGGCTCCAGTTGGGTTCATATCCTAAAAGTTGGGGGACATTGGGAATGGCAGCTGCAAGGGGGCAGTGGGCACTTCTGGGGCCTAGGGTGTGGGGTGATAGCAGCCCTCAGGTGGGACCCCAAACCCCTGGAACCTCCTGGGTCTGGAGGCAAAGCCTCAGGGCAGCACCCCCACCTCAGCCTGAGGTTGTCCCACTTTGCCAGGAGGCTGGGACAGGAAACACTGCTTCTGTCCACAGGGCCTGGGAGGAAAGGGGACTGTGACCTGTGCCCTGCTGCACCCTCTGGGATCTGGCTGCAAAGCTGAGGCTTTGTCTTATTTGGTTAAAGTCTTTGTCCTGAGCATGGTGATCCCACCAGTCCAGCCACCTCCAAGCCCAGACTTGCCCGGCTGTGCCTGGGGAGGAGCAGGTCTGGGTGGGGGTGGGGAGGGTGTGAGCTGGACCATGGGGAAGGGACAGCCTGGGAGGCCCTGGGGCAGTGCTCCTGGGGCCCCGGGCTCAGGCCTCACAGGCCAGGGCCTGTGGCTGGGACCTTTCCTGTGATCACCTCTTCTGGATCACCTCTTCTGGGTCCGAAGTTGTCGCAGGAGCCACTGTGCAACGAAAGGCCACAGGAAAAGAAAGAGCAGCGTGGTTGCAGAGAGCCTGAGGGGCCGGGGTCGAGGTCCCTGCGCAAGAGGAGACAAAGCAGGGCTGGCGCTGACTTCTGAGGCCTGGAAGGACCTGCTCCAAGTTAGGCTGCAGAACCCAGGCCTGTGCTGGCCACAGCAGCCAGGCCTCCCTGCCTCACAGTTCAGGGCCAGGAGGCTGAGGCAGGTCCTGACCCTGCTGGTGGGGCCTGTGTCCCTGCATGGAGAAGGTCACCTCTCAATGGACAGTGTGCTTCAGGTCAGGGGCCAGGGGGCTGGGGCACACGGGTGCCTGGTACCACTGAGCAAGGTCCAGATAGGATATGTTCTGAGGAGCCCAAGCCCCATAGCCAAGCTGTGACACTGGAAACAAGCATGGTACAGTTGACCAGATTGCTTGACCTGAAATTAAGGAGTCCACAGAGGTTCTCAAAAGTCAACAAATAAAACTAGAAAGTTATCACCATCCAGCAGGCTTTTAAGTCAGTTCTTCACTTGAAAAATAGATAATTAAAGGCCAGGGCACAGCTCAGGGACAGCATGGCTCAAGGCCTTCAGTTCCATCCCCAGCACCATATACAGGAGAGGAAAAAAGAGGAAGAAGCATTTGTCCTGCTGTTCCATGAAGAGAAAGGTCTCATTGTGTGCCCAGGCTGCCCTTGAACTCACAGCACTCCTCCTGCCTCAGTCTCCGAAGCACTGGGATTTCAGGTGTGCTGCATCATACCCAGCAAAGGACTGTATTTCAAGAAAACCCAAGGTGATTAGGGAAACTACAGAAAAGTGTTGGCTAATAAATGTTAAAGGAAAAATAGCATTTTTCTTTTAGGAATATGTAATAGGATTTTTTTTTTTTTCTTTTTCAGACAACGTCTCTTACAATTTTGTTTTTTTTTTTTTTTGGTCTTTTTCCTTTTTATCAGTACTGGGGATTGAACTCACGACTGCCTGCAAGGCAGGTGCTTATGCCACTGAGCTAAATCCCCAGCCCCCTTATAATAGAATTTTTAAAACTCAACATTTTTTGCAACCATTAAATGATTCAGGCAAGGATTACCTTGTCAAAACTGTGTGGCAAATGAGTTGCTGTGGTGGAGTCCCATTCCCCTGTGTTCAAGGCCGTGCACAGTGGAATTCCTGACCCCTAACAGCACCACCTCTGACACTTCCCAAGTCCAGAGCCCTTAACTGGACCCCGCCCGCCTGGCAGTCACATCTGATATCCAGTTCACAGGAAGGGTGTCTTAAGGGACCCTCAGGCTGGGGGTGGCTCAGCTGGGACAGAGGCTCTGGGTTTGATCCCGGAAACACCTCATACTAACAGGACAACAATAAAAGACATTTAAAGACAGGATGTAGGTACAGAACAGCATTCCAATTGGACAAATGAACTAGAAAAAGAAATTTCAGGACAAGTGGGGAAATTTAAAAGTTGGACTGATTGTCTGACATTTAAAAATTAACCCTAATAAATAAACATTGGGGTGCCAGGTATGGTGGCACATCCCTGTCATCCTAGCCCTTGGGAGGCTGAGACAGGAGGATCTCTGGGAGTTTGGGGCCAGGGTGGGCTACATAGTTCAAGGCCAGTCTGAACAACACAGCAAGAGCCTCTAAAAAAAAAAGAAAGAAAATTGTTGGAGTTTTTTGTTTTGTTTTGAGTTTTTATTTTTCTTGGTTTTGAGTTTTTGAGACAAGGTCTCACTTCAGGCTCACCTTGGACTCACTCTGTACTCCAGGTTGGCCTTAAATTCAGTGATCCTCCTGCCTCAGCCTTCCCTGTGTTGGGATGACAGGCATGTGCCACCATGCCTAGCCAATGACTACTAGCCAAAACATTTTAAAGCCAGGCACGGTGGTGCACATCTGTAATCCCAATACTTGGGAGGTTGAGGCAAAAGGATCACTTCAAGTTCGAGGCCAGCCTGGGCTACAAAGTGAGTTCAAGTCCAGCCTGAATTACATAGTGAGACCTGTTTCAAAAAAAAAAAAAAAGAAAAGAGAAGAAAAAAAGGAATGCAAAGAAAGTCTCTGGGGGGAGGGAAAGCAATGTCGAAATCCCCGCCATGAAGGCTCATCCAAGATGCCCAGCAGGTCAGAGATCACCCAGAGAACCCCCACAGCTGGCAGCTCAGCCCTCTCCTGCCCCAGCTACCTCGGATTCTCAAGAACAAACCTCAGAGCCCAGTGGGTAAGGGTGACCCCACCCATCCACTCCTGATCATCACAGTAACAGACAGTGGACTCCCAGGCCTGTGCCCTGGGAAGCCTGCATTATCCAGTCCCTTCCACATCACTGCCCTCAGGCAAAGTGTTCAACTCCGCAGTGCCTTAATTTCCCCATCTGTAAAGGGAGGTGAAGAGGAAGCCATCTCTGGGCCACTGTATGGCTGCCGGTGCCACAGCAAAGGCAGCTTTTACCAAGTCCCAGGCCTCAGGACAGAGGTGAGGGATGCAATGCTGGGGTAACTCAAGACACCTGGGGACAGGGACTCCAGCCCCATGCAAAGAGCAAACATAGCCAGTCCCCCACTGTAGGGAGTCCTCCCCGTCCCACCTTCCCTCCAAGGTAGGAGCCACCAGCCCCAACCTCCCTGCCTGCCACAGAAGCCACAGAGCCCTGGGCACCAGGAGGCCTGGGGACAGGGAGAGAATGGCTCCTCCTCTAGGAAGTGAGTGGGCTTCACCTGTGCAGGGGCCATGGGTTTGCTCTCAAGGGTCTGCAGCCGCCCCTGAACGTCCCGCATGCTCTCCTGCAGGGCCCAGATGGTGCCCACCAGCAATGAGTCCAAGTTCTGGGGCCCCGGGCGGCCACCCTCCAGCTCCTCTGCAGAACAGAGACATGGGCAGGGGACATCAGAGGCAGTTTATAAGAGCAAGGGAAGGGGCAGGGTGGGGCGGGGCAGGGAGCGAGGCCAGGTGATGGGCTGCCAGTGCCAGGGGTGGTCCAATGAGTCTGAGACTCAGTCACATGCTGTGACTTCAGGGGTTGGGGTGCCCCAGCAACATAGGTTCGTTCAGCCGGCTGAGGCTAAGGCTTACTACCAGCACCACAAAAGACTAACAGGGAGGACATCCTTCTCGCGGGCCTGCTGCTCAGAGGAATGAGAACTCACACGTATCAATGTGTTTCTTTGGGACTCAGCACATAGCACCCTCCAGAGGGGATGGGGCAGGACTCACTGCTGACTAAGAGGGGTGCTCATGGCCCCTGCCTAGCATGTGAGGACCAGAGGACTTGACTCCTGGGGTGGCCTTGGGAGGGCAGGGCAGGGACTTTGTCTGCCCAGGCCACGTCTGCTGCTTGGCAGCCCTGTCTGGACAGGCTGCTCCCCCAGAACCTGGGCTGGACTTTTGCCTTCACCCCAAGAGGGCGCCAAGGGAAGCCTGGGAAAGCAGGAGTGAAAGGTCACAGCTCACCTCTTTCCATAGGAGGCTCAAGGCTCATCTTGGCATCAGGGTCTCCTCCTGCCACTCCCCTCTGCTCAGCCAAGACTTGAGTGACATAGTGAGGTGGGGGACAGCCATAGCTCCTGGGGTGGGGCAGGGGAGGCAAGGGTCTCACAGGCTCAGGCTCCAGCTGCTCCAAGGAATCACAGAAAACCTCTGGGTCCAGGTCAACGGGGATCTGGGACTCTGGGAAGCAGGAGGTGGTCACTGCCAAGAGGGGCCTTGGGGAGGGTGTGCAGCAGTGTCCCCAGTCCAGTGGGCACAAGGATCTCAGCCTGACCCTGGCCTTCAGGGACGCAAAGCACATGGGTACAGCATGGTACCTAGGCCTCTCTCCAGCCTCCCAGCCTGGGTCTCCACTCCTGCTCACCCACTGACCTGGACCAAGAGGCACTGGCTCCTTGGGCTGGTAGGGAGGCTCTGGTACAGCCTGGTCATCATCTTTCCAACCTGTGCAGATACAGAAGTGGTCCCTTGTCTTAATGGAGGGGCACAGTTGGGGTCCTCATTCTGTCCCCAACCCCCACCCACCAAATGGCAGCATCACCAGCCTGGTGCCAGGACCCTACCTGTGACCCTTCTCAGGAAGGCTTCTGGGGGCCTTGGCATGTCGGGGATCACTTGGTACAGGGGCACAAAGTAGCTGAACATGTCCTCTGACACCTCCCCAAGGGGCACAGTGTCAATCACCTAGTGGGAGGGGATCTCATGAGGAGAGGTCCTTCCCTGTCCCTGTGTAATCCTCTCATGCCCCCTAGGAGCCTCAGCAATCAGACAGTCCTGGATGGGGTGCCGCAGGGAGGTGGTGATTCCCAGGGAGTCAGTGTTAAGGAACGGGAAGTGGCACTAGAGGGGTGAAGGACGCCATGGAAGCTCAGAGACAGCAGGGCTGGTCCTCCTCACCTTCTGTGCCACCAGTTTCATCTCTGCGACATAGGCGGACATGGCCTCCTCCCTGCTCATCCCACCCAGGCTATGCCAGGCGTCCCTAGAAGCAGAGGGCAGTGAGGCAGCCGCCAGCGGCAAGTGCAGGGCTACAAGTGGGGACGGCATGCTCACCACTTGTAGCGCCCAATGGGATCCCAGAAGCCGGGCCTCGGCACCAGGCAAGGCCCCAGGGTGGCCTGCTTGTAATAGCTGTAGAACCGAAGCATCTCCTCATGAGAGGGGCGGTAGGAACCTGCGCAGGGTGGGGACCGTACACCATTTCATTCGAGCCCAAGGAAGGGGGTCAAGAGTCATGGTGACAGGTGGTGGCAGGCTCTTGCCTGGGACATCTGGACCCGGGACAGCCCGCAAGCGACCCCACAGGCGGCCGGGGCCTCACCCGTCCGGGGCAGACTCTGGATGACGCTGGCCGCCGCCTGGAACTGCTCGCGGCAGGCGGGCTTGGAGCCGCCGCACTCGGAGCCCATGCGCACGGTACCCCGGCTTCCTCCTCCTGCCGGGCTGCGGGACTTGGCGCGGGGGCAGGCGGCAAGGGTCGCAGGGCCAGTCGTGTCCTCGACAGCGTCGCTCAAGTGCATATCTCCAGCTCACGGACAAGAAAAGCGAAGGAGGCGGCCTTTCCCTGCCCCTCCCCGCCCCGCGGCGACTCTGACGAGCTAGGTCTCGCTGGTCGCGGGCTTCAAGTCCGAGCTGGCCGAGCCGTGTCCCGAAACTCAGCCAATGAGAAACACCGTTTCATAGTTGGCTTCTATACTCCAGCCACTCGGTGCGGCTCTTTCAAGATTATGCCACACCTTCGCGGTGCAGCCGCCGATCCGGCGAGTAGCGCCCCCAACGGACGCGGGGGAGCGCGCGGTGCTCGCGCCCCCTAGTGGCGGCGACGCGGGCCCGCGGTCCCAGCGCCCAAACCGAGTTTGGGGACCCGGGTGAGGGGCGGGGCGGTCATCCCGGAGAGGGACCGCAGAGTCAGTGTGGAGCTCAGGGTCCAGCGGGCCCCTCAGGCCCCCGAGGTCGCGGCTTTCCCTGGACACGCGGCGCGGCTCGCAGTGCGGTCTGCAACGCCAGCGATCCTAGGTTTCGGCCCCAGGTCAGGGCCAGAGACACACTCAACCCGGTCACCGCCCGCCCCGGGGTCGCACCGTCCAACCGAGGCTTTGGGCGGGAGGAGGAGCCTGCGTCCCTGGCGAAACTCAGGGCGGACTCAACAGGGGCGTCTCGGGGGTCCGGGCTAGGTCCCTCCTCCTGTCCCGCCCAGGAGCATCGCTCTGCCCCATTAGTTCCTCCTCCTTTTGTCACACCTCTCTGGCTACTCCTCCCTGTCCCATCCCCTCCGTTGCCCAATCCTTCCCCCTGCTTCTCTCTCTTCCCCTGCCCTCCCCCTCCCTCCTCTCTCTCCCTCAGGTCCCTTCCCCATCCGTCCCCAGCCCTTGCCCCTCTCCTCCCTCTCTCCTGCCCTCCCCCTTTCCTTCCCCCGTCTCCTCCCCTTCCCTTTTTGCCTGCCTCCACCCTCCCCATTTCTCTCCTCTCCCTCTTCTGCCCTACCCTTCCCCTCCCTGGTCCCTCCCCCTGCTCCTCCTCCTGATCTCCCACCCCTCCCTCGGTCCCTCCCCCAGTCCCTCCCCTAGCCGTCCTCCTGCCTCCACACCCTACCTTTTCGCTCCCCCTCTCTCCTGCCCCTCCTTCAGTCCCTCCCCCTTCCCCTTCTTCTGTCCTCCTGCCCCTCCCTTGTCCCTCCCCTGCCCCTCCTCTTATCCCTCCTCCGGATTCTCTGGGCCCTGCTAATTGTCTGCGTTCGCGACAGCGTACAGAGCTGGGGCTGGCCGGAGCGCTGTCCTTCTGTTCCCCGTCCCCCTGTCCCCCATCCCCGCCATGCTGTGCGACTGCTGGAGGAGGGACCGCCACCGGCCCGAGGAGTCCGTGGCACTAGACAGAGTCGTGGAGTCCCTTGCGCTCCCGCCGTCGCGGGATGGAGTCGCCCCAAGGCCGGCGTCTCGCGCGCTGAAGAAGATGGGTCAGTCCGGGCCGTGGGGACCGGGATGGGAAGCCTGAGGGTCCGTGGCCCGGAGCTCATGCCGGGATCTCCAGGACGCCCCAAGGCCCCTCAGGAGGTGCCCGCGGGCTCAGAGGGGTCACGGGTTCAAGGCTCCTGCCCTCGAAGTGGGAGCTCTGTGCTTCATGCCTGGGGACCTGAGCAGGGCATCGACCCCACGCGAGGGACTGGAGTCTGGTGACACTGCCACAAGGCCTAGGGTCCCAAATGGGCTGCGTGGTAGGAAGCTTCTGGAACAGGCCCAGTGCCGAGGTTCACACTGGAGTGTCCTGCAGCCTGGACCCCATCTCAGGGCGGGAGGCTCAGGTTGGGAACTGTGTGTGGGGCACCCAGGCCATGCCATGTGGCAAGGACCCTCAAAATCCCACACAGTGGGGCACAGGGGCAGAGTGCCAAGGCCATTTTATAAAACATAAAGCACAACTGTTGGTCTAGCAGCTGAAGAGGCTGAGGTGGGAGGATTGCAAGTGTGAGTCCTGTCTGGGCAACTTGGTGAGATTGTCCAAAATAAAGAATGAAAAAGGTCAACGGATGTAACTCAGGAGTGGAGAGGGAAAGAAGGAAGGAGGAAGGGGAGGAGGAAGGGAAGGGAGAAGGTGGAATGCAGGAAGGGTGAGCCCTGCACCTGAGACAGTGGCCCGTGGGTGACCACAGCCCTGCAGGAATTGCTCCGACCTTGGGCTGGGTGACCTTGCTACGCCTCTCACCCAGGGAACCTGAGTGTGCTGGGCACTGATTGTGCCACTCAGATGCCTGAGGTGAGAGCTCCGCCTGTCCTCCATGAGGTCTGCCCTGTCTGGTCTGTCTAGGCCTGTGGCTCCTGCAGGACACAGGATATACACACACAGTTCAATCCTGGGGGAGCTGAGCAGCCCCTAGGGAGGTCTCACGGACCTCAGGAACGAGACCCCGGGAGAGAGGGCCCATGAAATTCAGGGAGCCAGGTCCCACAGGGTGCACTGGCACAGAGTGCTGGAAACAGTCTGGCTACCTCAGCTCCAGCCCATGGGTGACCTGGAGCCTGGCCCCAGGAGATGGGCCATGGGTGGGGGCCAGGAGACACAATGACGCCCAAGTCAGGCTGCCTGGCACCTGGCAGGGTGACACTGTTGGGAACTATGCAGGTCAGGAGCAGCACCTTGGCTCCCCTCCCTCCTGCCACTGGCTCATCCCTTGAGTGACAGCGCAGTGACCACTGAGAAAGGAATGTGAGCCTGTGCCTGGCAGGGCAGAGATTCAGCACAGGTGTCCAGGCCTGCAGGCCAGGCCAGCCATGCAGGTGGCCACTGCCATCACCCAATATAACCTGGCCAATGCCCAAAGGCACAGACTGGTTTGGGAGCCACCCTAGCCTGGGGCCAGCAGGACAGGCTGAGGACAGAGGAGAGTTGGTGGTGGGTACCATGACAGGCTCATATGAACCAGCCCCTCCAGCGCAATCACACGGGCTGGGTAGTGTAGAGCCTCCCTTACAGACGGCATCACTGGGGTTTGTAGTCGGCCCAGGGCAATGCCAGATGCAGCTGAGATTCATTCTCAGCTCCTGACCTGGGTAGGGAAGGGAGAGTTCTCAGCTAGGGAGCCCTGGCAGCCTTGGGGTCCAAATGTGATACAGAAAGCCCAGGTAAGTTTGAATCTCTCCAGTCTGTCTGTATCTTGGGGGAGCAGGGGCGGACCCGGCCTTTGAGCAATGCCCCAGCCCGGTGGAGCACAGCCCAGGCCCTCAGAGGGACCCTGAGCCCACTGGGGTGTGTGCCCTGCTCCGTACACCCTGACCCTATGGCCCATCTGGCACTAGGAGCCTTGTGGACTGTGGGGCTGAGTGTGCCCCACAGCCTGCACATAGTGGCTTCAGGAACCTGGTGTTGCTGCTGCCTACCATGATGGCTTTGGGGGAGACTGGCTTCCCTGGCACCCTGTGGGCCTGACCACCAGGAATGCTCCAGCGTCCCCTCTGCTCAGCAGCAGCCCTATGTACCTGCTCCTCTGTTACACAGCCCTGCCCAGTCCCTGTCCCCATCCCACTAGCCCAGATGCCCCTGCCACCCTGTGGCCACCTTGTGTACCCTGAAGTGCCTTTGAGATACTAATTCACCTACAATGCTATTCATTCATTTAAAGTATACAGTGGGGCCAGGGGTTTAGCTCAGCAGCTCAAGAGCTTGCTTGGTAAGTGTGAGGTCATGAGTTTGATCCCCAGTACCGAAAAACAAAACATAACATACAGTGATTTCTGGTATATCATTACATGTTTAAATTGTGGTAAATAATCCTGGGCTGGGGGGCTGGGGATTTAGCTCAGCGGCATAAGCACCTGCCTTACAAGCAGGCGGTCGTGAGTTCGATCCCTGGTACCAATAAAAAATGAAAAAGACAAAAAAAAAAATAATCCTGGGCTGGGTGAGATGGCACCCTGAAATCCTGGCATTCTGGGAGGCTGAGCCAGGAAGATCACAAATCTGAGCCCTGCCTGGGCAATTTTTTTTTTTTTTTTTTTTTGAGACAGGGTCTTGCTATGCAGTTGAGGCTGGCCTTGACCCGCCTAGCAATTTAACAGTTTGCCAAGACCATACTTTGAAATGCAACATAAAACTGGGACTGTAGCCCATTACAAAGGCCCTGGATTTGATCCTCAGTACCACAAAAACAACATAAAACTGGCCATTCTCACCTTTTAAACAAATGTATTATCTTTTTTTTTTTTTTTTTTTGTCTTTTTCTATTTTATCAGTACCAGGGATCAAACTCAGAATTATCTTTTTGAGACAAGGTTTTACTATGCAGTTCTGGCTGGCTTAAAGTCACTTTGTAGCCTAGGTGGTCTTCAAACTCTGTGACCCTCCTGCCTTAGCCCCTTGAGTTCGGGGATGACAGGCATGCACAACTACGCCCGGCTCTGACTGTTCTGTGGTGTTCACTAGCCCTACTATTTTACCCTGTAGGGGGCTGGGGATTTAGCTCAGTGGCATAAGCACCTGCCTTACAAGCAGGCGGTCGTGAGTTCGATCCCTGGTACCAAAAAAAAAAAAAAAAAAAAAAATATATATATATATATATATATATATATATATATATTTATTTATTTTACCCTGTAGGCAGCCATTACCTTACCTATTTTCAAAATTGACCCAGTCCCAGGAGCAGGTATGCGACCCCCTCTCGCCTGGCAGTGTCTGGCCTGCTTCTACACTAGGCTGTGCCTCATCCCATGGGATTCATTCAGGGTCTGGCTTCTTGGAGTTCCTTGGTGCTTCCTGGGTTAGCATGGCTTGGTTTCCCTCCCCACACCTGGATGTGCCTGCCGTGGAAATTCACACCTTGCCATCCTATCCTCCCATGGGGCCCTCTTGGTCCCTGTTTCCTGGCTGGCTGCCCTTGGGGTTCCCCCACTTGCTGGGGGGTGGCTGTGCAGGCCAACCCCAACCCCTACACAGGGTGAGCAGGAAGGAGCAGCTTCCCTGCTTGTCGTGCAGTGCAGAACCCCCCTGTTGCCACTGGCCTGGGGGAGCTCAGCCCTTGCCACCTAGCAGCATGCAGCCCTTGGGGTGGGGCAAGGCTGGGGGAGGGGGCTATGGCAAGGATGAGGGTGGAATGTGGCCCCTGCCCTCTCTGCACATGTTTGCCCAAGGTAGGACTCAGACCCACAATGACTCACCTCCATTTCCGGTCTCTCATGCCGGGCCTCCACACAGCAGGCATGGAACAGGGTGACCCAGTATGCAGGGGCAGGTTGCAGAGCCTAGGTCTCACCAGGATCCAGCCTCACCCCCTCCTGCTGGGACAGAGGGGCTCCACCTCCCTGGGCCTGAGCCAGCAACCAGTCCTGGCTCCAGCAGTGACCACAGACCCCCAAGGGGTGTGGTTCTTTTCCTGCCCTTGAGACTCTGATTGTGTCCACTATCAAAGCCACAATCTAAAATACCCCTGGCCAGGCATGGTGGCACACACCTGTGATCTCAGCACTCAGGAGGCTGAGGCAGGAGGATTGTAAGTTCCAGGCCAGCTACTGAGTGAGACCATGTCTCAAAAACAAAACAAAACACAGGAGCAGCACGCAGATGCCAATCCCCACCCACAGCTGCCAGGTGAGCACCCTGGCCCCCATATGTGACTCCTAGCACAGCTAAGACAGAATCCTGAGCCCAAGGCTTTGCCTTGAACTCAGGATGCAAATCTCAGGACTAGGTTAGAGTAGAGAAGCACTCTACCACTGAGCTACACCCCTGGCCTTTTATATTTTGAGTCAGGGTCTTGAACTCACCATCCTCCTGCCTTGGCCTCCTGTTGCTTCTGTGTCTTTGCTACTGAGAGTTATATAAAGGGCCTTCATGAAGACCTGCATGCCAGCACCACCTCCTCTTGATTTTTATTTTGAGACAGGGTCTTGCTAAGTCACTAAATTGACCAGGCTGTGTTGAGCTTGTGATCTTCCTGCCTCAGCCTCCAAGACTGCTAGTATGATAGGCATGCAGCACTGTGCCCAAATGCTGTTCTGTTTTGCTTTGTTGTGACAGGGTCTCACTATGTACTTCAGGCTGGCCCTAAACTCACTGTGTAGCAAGGCTGACCTGGAACTCGTGGCAGTCCTCCTGCTTCCAATAAGGGTATTAGGGTTACAGGTGTGTGCCACCATACCTGGCATGGCTTCTTGATGAAAGCAAAAAGTGCCATTGGCTATCAGGGAGGAAGAGCCCCCACTGAGAACAAACTGAGGAAGACTTAACGGAGGAGGCAGAGTTGCGATGGTTTAAGGGACTCATCTGGAAGAGGTGGACCCTGCACATGTTGTGAGTGGGCGGTAGCAAAAGCCTGGGGCTTTAGCTAGGATTTCCTGGATCAGAGTTTACAGTTGAGGGGCAGGGACCTGGAGGCCATGAAGCCAGACCCAGCATCAGAGGGTTGTCGAGGGCAAAGGCTCACTGTTGGGTTCTGGTCTGGCTGGGGACCATGGACACAGAGGCGTGCCCGCTGGCCCCAGGATGGCCAGGACAGCCCTGCGGGACCCGGGTTCTGGGTGCTAGTGTCCCACTTTGCACAGGCCTCACAGAGGACAAGGACGTGCTCGCCATGCTGCGAGGCTCACGGCTGTGCGAGATCCGCTCACGCACCTGGCAGAAGGAGCGGCTGTACCGGCTGCAGGAGGACGGGCTTAGTGTGTGGTTCCAGCGGCGCTTCCCCCACGCACCCTCTCGGCACAGCTGTGAGCAGTATGGGCAGACTGGGTGGGGGCGGGGAGGGGCAGGGGTGACCCTAACCCCCCCTTAGTCCTCGTGCAGCACATCGAGTCCATACGCCAGGGTCACCAGTCCGAGGGCCTGCAGCGCTTTGGGACTGCCTTCCCACCCGCACGCTGCCTGACCATCACTTTCCGAGGCCACCGCAAAAACCTGGACCTGGTGGCCCATTCGGTAGAGGAGGCACAGTGCTGGGTTCGGGGCCTGGAGAAGCTTCGGGCACGGCTGAAGGCCATGAGCCAGCGTGAGCACCTGGATCAATATCCTTCCAGACCTGCAGAGGCACACCCATCACCCACTTGCCGTGGGACGGGGTGGGGCAGGGTGGGGAGGGCACATGCTGTGCAGCCCCTTCCTGAGCACCTACACTTGGATCCACTCCTACCTGCACCGTGCGGACTCCAACCAGGACAGCAAGATGAGCTTCAAGGAGATCAAGGGCCTGCTGCGCATGGTCAATGTGGACATGGACGACATGTATGCCTACCGGCTCTTCAAGGTGAGCCTCGCTGCCCAGCCAGGCCTTGAGTGACCTTTCTTTCCTGAGGCCTCGGCCTGGGCAGGGCACAGACCCTATGGACGCCAAGTGCGTGACCAGCGTGAGCCTGGCCACAGAAGCGCTGGTTGTGCACAAGTGTGACCTCATCCACTGCTTGCTGGTCAGCTGTGACGGCACACTCAGGAGATGCATGGGGCTCCCACTGGCCCAGGGGTCACGCTTCCCACCTGCATCCAGGTTCTCAGGACACACTGCAGTGCTGACCAGACAGACTGCCTGGAATCCTAACCCTGCATTCACCTCTGAGAGACAGGGTGGAAAAGGGGTGTCCAGCTGCAGTGGGCCTTGAGGTGTCAGTGGGGCTGTCTCCCAGGGTATCCCCCAATGTCTCCCCATACCCCAGGAGTGTGACCGGTCCAATGATGAGAGGCTAGAGGGCCCCGAGATTGAGGAGTTTGTGCGGCAGTTGCTGAAGCGACCTGAGCTAGAGGAGCTCTTCCACCAGTTCTCAGGGGAGGACCTGGTACTGAGTGCCCCCGAGCTGCTGGAGTTCCTGGAGGTGCAGGGCGAAGCAGGTGCCACGCTGGCACACGCACAACAGCTCATCCAGACCTACGAGCTGCATGAGACAGGTGGGCAGGCACAGAGTGGGCAGGGGGTTTCAGGGAACCCCATGGGGCCTCAGGACGGGCCAGGCCACGAGCCTACACACCTCTCTGGCCTTCCCGTAGCCAAGAGCCATGAGCTGATGACCCTGGATGGTTTCATGATGTATCTACTGTCACCCGAGGGGGCCGCCCTGGACCACACACATGCCACGGTGTTCCAGGACATGGGCCAGCCCCTGTCACATTACTTCATCTCCTCTTCTCACAATACCTACCTGACTGACTCCCAGATTGGTGGCCTAAGCAGCACGGAGGCATATATAAGGTACTGCACCTCCGAGGGACCCCAAGTGTGGGATGGGCTGCCTGTGCTGTGTCCCGACTCCTCACCCATCCATCTACCCATGTGCAGGGCCTTCACCCAGGGCTGCCGCTGCGTGGAGCTGGATTGTTGGGAGGGCCCGGGCGGCGAGCCTGTCGTCTACCATGGCCACACGCTCACCTCCAAGATCCTTTTCCGAGACGTGGTCCAGGTTGTGCATGACCACGCCTTCATGGTGAGCCCGACTCACACACAGCCACAGCCTTCAGCCTTCTGGATGGCGCTGCTCCCACGGGCGGGCAAGGCATGTTCATCTTGAGAGCTTAGCGTGGCATCTGTGTAAATTATACTTCCGTCCAGGTGTCAGGACATCACTGCCCCCAAGATGACCAGGCATGTGCAGCCAACACAGGCCATGTCATTAACACACAACACGCAGCATTGCTAACCAGGCACAGGTGCACAGCCTGTAATGCCAGTTCCTGAGAGGCTGACGCAGGAGGATTGCAACTTATGGAGGGGAACTTATGGAGACCTTGTCTCAAACATTTAGAAAGTAAATAAAAGGGGCTGGAGATGCAGTGCTGAGCTAGGCCCTTGGTTAAGTCCCCAGCGCTGTACCTAAGTGAATAAGACTCTCATAGTCCCTGTGTGGCCGCTCACCCAGGGGCTTGTCCTGAGCACTGGCCTCCCCTGCAGCTGTCCCCCTACCCTGTCATCTTGTCCCTCGAGAACCACTGCGGGCTGCAGCAGCAAGCTGTCATGGCTCACCACCTGCGGACCATCCTGGGGGACATGCTGGTGACAGAGGTGCTAGACACCCAGAACCCCAAGGAGCTGCCATCTCCAGAGGTGACGCTTCCTGGTGCCTGGGGACAGAGGGTCCAAGGGGCTTCCCATCTGTCCCTCAGTGCTCCTGGCTCTCCATTCCCATAGTGAGCCCCTTTGACCTGGCACTCAAGGCCTCTAAGGACTTTCAGGTCCTTCCAAGCTCTGGGGGACCCTCTCCTCTCTGCTGGGCACCTGTACCCCATCTCTCCTTCTGACCCCTCCCCAACACTCTCCCTACCCGGGGTGGGGGGGTTGAATGACTGACTGAAGGCTGTGGAGGGGCAGGCTTTACCTATCCCTATTGGCCTCCACAGCAGCTGAAGGGCCGGGTGCTGGTGAAGGGAAGGAAGCTGCCAGCCATGCAGGGCGAGGACGGTCGCCCTCTGTCCGACAGGGAGGACGAAGAAGAGGAGGATGGGGAGGCCATAAGGGCTGCACGACAGAGGACCCTCCCAGAGGCTAGGCCCCAGGCCGGCCAGGTCTCCCCGGAGCTTTCGGCCCTGGTCGTGTACTGCTGTGCCACCCGCCTGAAGACCCTGCACCCTGGCCCTGGCCCAGCCCAGCCCTACCAGGTCGGCTCTCTCAGCGAGCGCAGAGCAAGGAAGCTGCTGTGGGAGGCGGGTAGGAACTGGGCGCTGGGCACGGTGGGCACCAGGTGTGGAGGGGACTCTGTGGAGAGAGGGGTGGGGTAGGTGGAGGGAACCCAGAGGAGCTGAAGGAAGCAGCTGGCAGACGAGGGTGGGGTTCCCATTGGAGGAAAAGGTGACCTGTGTGCAGGAAGCAGCATGGGGCTGGGATACACGGAGGGTGCCTGGTCTTCTTGGTGAGTCCCTTCAGTCCTTGTCCCCAGGAGGCCACTGGCCCATTCCAGCCCTGCTCAATTCTGCCACAGGGAACAGCTTCGTCCGGCACAATGCCCGCCAACTGACCCGCGTGTACCCACTGGGGCTGCGGGTCAACTCCACCAACTATAACCCTCAGGAGATGTGGAACGCAGGCTGTCAGCTAGGTGAGCCAGGGCTGGGGTGCCCTGGGCCTGGGTGGGAACCCAAAGGAGGAAGATGCCTCTGTAGTTCCATCATACAGCTGGGGAAGTTGGCCCAGGCTACTTTGCCACCCGCACCAGCAAGTCAACTGTGCCAGTCGGCACAGCCACAGCCAGCCCCTCTGGGTGCTGAGCAGGAAGTCCCTGGGACAGTAGGCCAGCAGGAGGGGACAGTCAGGTCAGGGATGCCCCAGACCGTGGTTCAGCCCCATGGGCTTCTGCAGCCTGAGGGACCCAAGGAAGAAGGTACAGGTGAAGCAGCAAGGGCCCTTGGGGAGTGGCCACCAACGGTCATACTTCACTATACTGCCCACAGTGGCCCTGAACTTCCAGACACCAGGCTACGAGATGGACCTCAACGCAGGCCGCTTCCTGGTCAACGGGCGGTGTGGCTACATCCTGAAGCCCAGCTGCTTGAGGCAGCCAGACACAATGTTTGACCCACGGTGCCCAGGGCCCCCCAGCACCACGTTGACAGTCCAGGTTGGCAAGGGTTCAGGCTGCTCTGGGAAGCACACTGGTCTAAGTGGAGGACAAGGGAACAGGGATGGCCTGGACATTCGTGTCTGCAGGGGACAGATTTGGGCATGGCTGCAGACCAGAACTGCCCACCTCCCCCAGGTGCTCACTGCCCAGCAGCTGCCCAAGCTGAATGCTGAGAAGCCCAGCTCCATTGTGGACCCCCTGGTGCGTGTAGAGATCCATGGAGTCCCGGCGGACTGTGCACGCAAAGAGACCAGCTACGTGCTCAACAACGGTGGGCATCAGCCTGGCGAGCAGTAGGAGAGGCGGGGGGTGGGGAGTGTGGCCCCCCTGACTGTGCACCCACACTAGGCTTCAACCCACACTGGGGGCAGACCCTGCAGTTCCAGCTGCGGGCCCCAGACCTGGCCCTGGTGCGCTTTGTGGTGGAGGACTACGACATGGCCTCCCCCAATGACTTCGTGGGCCAGTTCACGCTGCCCTTCAGCAGCCTGAAGCAAGGTGGGCAGGTGGGCGGGCTCCCCATCCCTAGCTGCCTGCTGGCCCGGACTGGAGCCACGACTGAGGACCTGACCCTGGTTGGCCCCACAGGGTACCGCCACATCCACCTGCTCTCCAAGGACGGGGCCCCGCTGTCCCCTGCCACACTCTTCGTCCACATCTGCATTCAGCACTCCTGAGGGCTGAAGACCCTACCAGGGTTCTGGGGCTCCAGGCCATGTCCAGAATCAAGCCTGGTCCTCCCCTAGTCTGGCACCTGGCGCTTGGTCAGCTGCTGTCTGGTGGTTGGGCTGCAACACCCTGTGCCCAGCCCCACGCCACATGGTGCCTTACACAGGGCCTGCTGCAGCCCAGAGCCTGAAGGCTGACATCCGTGAGAGCCTGGTTCCTGCAGAGCCGCCCTGGCCTCCACCATACCCATCTTGGTGGAGTACCAAGCCCTTTGGTCCCTCATGCTCACCCTGCACACCAAGTAGAGCTGGAGACCTGGCCACGGGGTGGCAGCTGGGTCCCAGCTGGTTCCCAGCTTCCCTGGGAAGCCACAGAGAAGCATCTATTCTGACAATAAAGGAGCCTAATTATTCCCCCCCGCCCCGTGCCTCTGAGACTGGGGGTGGGGAAGCCTCTTCCTAGGGCTGGCCCTGAACCTGCTCTAACTTCTAGGCTGGGGACACCAGTTTACAAGGTCTCATGGTAGCCTGGAGGGAAAACCTCCAAGGGAACCTCAAGGACACCATTTTTACTTCCCACCAGCCTTGCCATCCCAGCCCTGGAAGCACAGCATGACCACACCAGTCTGAAGAGACTCCAGGGACAACACTTGGCATTTCAGGTCCCCTAGGAACAGTGCCAGCACTGGACAGGTTTCCACAGAGCTGGGCTAGGCCTGGCACCAGCCCCAGTCTCCTGTGTAGGAAGTAACAGCCTCCTCTGGGAGTGGGAGTGGGCTGTTGTGCTCAAGAGTTCCAGAACCCTGATGTCTGTCCGATGGGCCGGCCCAGTCCTGCTGGATGTGCACAGGGTTGGCCAGGCCCATCCTGAGTCCTCCTTGGGTTCTGCCAGCCTGCACATCCTGGTGGTGAGGCAAAGTGCGTGTCAGGGGTAGAGTAGAGTGCTCTGTGCAGCTCTGGCCCAGGTTCCCTGCAGGGCGTGGAGGCACTGCCATGAGAGTTGTAAGAGATCCTGGGTCCAGGCAGCCAGAAGATCCAAGGACAACAACTGGGGGTTCCAAGTGGAACCACAGGGGCCCAGCAATCTTCTGGCTAAGAAGCACGCCAGGAAGCTGGGCATGGCTGGGTGAGGCCCTGGGCTTCATCCCCGGGATGCAAAAAGAAAAGCAAATCTAAAAACCCAAAAAGTGTCCTATGGCTCAAGGGTGTGGTGTCTGGCAGATCAGCCTGCATGGTGCCCACACCTGTCAGGAGCTGTGAGGCCCATGGAGGGCGTCTGCACCAAGGGAGAGTCCCGGGAGAGAGGGGACAGGCCCCACCTATCCCACTCACCTGCTAACCAGAGGATGCTGGGGCAGGGCTTGTCCAGCTGTTGCCTTTATTAAAAACCGCGAAGTACTGAGTAGAACAAATTGGTATTTCCTCTTGACCCTGGAAATGGATGGATTCCAGCACGAAAGCCTCCCAGACAGCAAGGTCTACTGCTCCTGGGTGTGGCCAAGAGCACCGGATGGGCTGGCACCACTGGCTCCAGAGGTGCCGCCTGCCTGGCAAAGCTGAGTCTTGGTCTCCTCCGTTCTAGGCCCTAGACAAGCCTGTCCCTCTCTAGGCCTGGTGCCACCTCCCAGATGGCAACTGTAGACGCTGTGGGGAAGAAACATCAGACCACGAGCCCTGCCCCCAAGCTACAGAGCAGCAGAGGGGAGGTGCAGACATGGTCAGCATCTCTGACAAGCAGGGGTCAGGGTGCATGGCCGGGCCAGCCACAGACACTAGTCCAGGAGCAGCCTGCTGGCCTGGCCCAAAGCTCTGTCCCAGAGGGGAGTCCATGGCCAAGCAGTCGGTCCACACGCGGGGATGGCATCCTAAGTGTGGCTGCCAGGAGCCTGGTGGGAGGAGTGCCACAGCAGCTGCCCAAGGCGAGGCAGCCTAGGCAGTGGGTTGCCCGTCACTGGTGCCACTGTCCTGAGGGCCCTCTAGGAGGCCCCAACCCAGACAGAATTGTGTGTAGGACTAAGGAGAGTGAAAAGGACGGAGACTGACAACAGTAACCCAGTGGCCTCCTGCAGCCCTGGGTGGGCCCCCAGGAGAATACTCCAGGTGCAGGCCACAGGCTGCAGACCACCGACCGCCAGCTGAGAAGGAGGTGCTGGGCCCTGCAGGGTCCACTTCTTCCCAAGCAGCTTGGGGCACAGGGTCCTCATTTCACAGGGTTCTGGCCAACCACAGGAGAGCCATTCTGAGTGTGTGTGTTTCCTGGGTCTGAGCAGCATGTGGAGGGGCGCCCCTGTCCCGTATGCTGCCATCACCACCACCTGATGTCTGTGGGTGTGAGGCAGCCCCCACCTCTCTGACTCCTCTGTCTGTGGAACTCCATGTGCTTCCTGTCAAGAATATAGGCTTCCTTGGCCTGGGGGCTTGGAGTGGAGGATTCAAAACCACGGGTCAGGACCTGCAGTCAACAGCAAGGACCGTGGGGATCGAGGTCCATGAAGCCTCTGGAGTGGCCACCTCTGCTCCACAGCGGCACAGTCTGTCTCAAGCACACCGTGTTCTCCAGCTCTACGACGGTAGACACAGCCTCCAGCAAAGCATGGCAGCCTGCAGCCTGGCCTGGGGAGCCTGGGTGGGCGGCCAAGGCTGAGGCTAGCTGCAGTTGCTTCCTTCCCTTTCAAGAAGCAGAGGGAGTGGACGAAGACCCTTGACCCACGCTGTGCTGCTTGCCAGGCTTAGGCAAGGCCAGCTCCCTGGAAGGGGAACGTGGGCCACTGAGTATGACAGGTGGCCCCCAGGCCACTTGGCCGGCACAGCTGCAGACTGTGTGTAGACAGACAGCACAGCTGGATCAAGGGCCCTGGAGACCCACACAGCCACTGCACAAGTCCACGTGGTGGCATGGGCAAGCCTGTGCTTGCTGCCAAGTGCAGGGCTGCCTCTTGTCCCTGTGTCCTACCACAGCCATGTCCTGGCAAAAAGCAGGGTAAGACGGGCAGGCTGACGGATGCTGGCTCTGCTCTATGTCTCCACGAGGTCCCACATGAGGGAAATGGAAAGGCAGAACCTCACGGCATGAACCCTGTGATGGCTGGGAAGCAGGCTGCAGGATGGGAGGCTCAGCAAGACGTGTCTGACCGTCCCTGCCCAGAGCACCAGGCACCCTGACTGGGGCCTCCAGAACTGCAGATCCCTCCTCCGTCCCTCTTTCAGCGCCAGCATGCAGGGAACCATGGCCTTGGCTCCTCTCCTGCTCCTGGAGACTTAAGTGGTGCCGACACTGTCTGCCTCCGTCCTTGGCTTCTAAACTTGAGGACGACGGGAGTCAACTTTTCATTACAGACCAAGCATCCTCATATATTTGAGACATGAAAGATATTTAAAATATTTTTATATATATATATATATATAATATATATACTTTTATTATTCACCCGTTAACTCCATAATATGCCAATCACGAGCTAGTTTCAGCAGTTACATTCCCTTGATCACGGCTCCATGAGGATGTGATTAACTGGAAAACAGGGAGACCAGATGGCCTGAGGTGAAGTCACGTGGCCCATGCCACTGCAGCACAGTCCTCGAGCCTGCTGGTAGTTTGGTGAAGCCAGTTTGGTTCTGCTCCCTTCCAGGACCCTCAGGCCTGTGAGACTGGACCAAAGAGTGGTGGGTTCCCTTGCTGGCTGGAATCCTCAGTGGCTTTATCCAGAATCTCACTGACAACTGGTTACTGTAACACAAGCCCAACCTGGAGCCGACAGGAGAGGTGGGTGAGTGGACGGCACCCGGATGCTCCCTCACGGAACCCATGAGCTCGGGCAGGCTGAGTCGGGGAGGGCGCCACCCATGGTTCACAACTCCCAGTTTCCTCCTGGCATGCACTGTCCTGCCTCAGCACACAGCATTCAGCCATTGGGCAAAGCCATGTAACTGAGCTCCCAGGAGCCAGGGCCTTGCCCTTGGGAGCACTCACCTTCTCGGCACCCATGCTGGGGCACTTCCAGTTGTATAGGTAATACTGAAGGTTGCCGTCCCCTATGCCAAACTTGAGCTTCTCCAAGAAGGTCTTGTTTTCCATGAGATCCAGTGCATTGAACACATCGAAACCTTTCTGCAGGGCAGTGAGGAAGGACGGGTGAAGTTGGAGGTGGCCACCTCACCCTCTTGCCAACTGAACAGGCTCCCAGCCACCTCCCCTCGCCTTTCCTCCTGGGCATCCCACATGCTCCCACTGCCCCTCACACCTTCCAGGAGCCCCTCCTGCTCAGAGACTCGGCCTGCTGCCGGCTCCTGGGGGACACAGTAACCACGGGACACCGAGGGGCACTACTCCAGATTGCGACCAGGATATTCCCAAGGTCCCATGTGGAGCAGAGCTTTTGTGGAACACAGCTCAGGCACATGCATACACCATGGCTCACTGGCTCCTGGGAGGACGAGGCTCCCAGGGGCTGCTGCCTCCCATCTGAAGCCCCGGCTGTGGGGCCCTGTCTGAGGGTGCCAGGCTAACACCTCCCAGACAAGACAGTGGCTCCTCTGGGAGCTGCACCCACCACAACCATCCCTGCCCTTTTCTGAGATGCCCACCCACTCCTCACCATTTTGGCGAGAACAAGGGCATCACTCATGAGGTCTAGAAGAGGTGTCTGGGTGTGGACATTGTAGAAGGAGTAAGCAGCTTTCAGACTCTTATGGGTTGGGTGGTTCATGATGGTGGAAGGAAGTGTATAGAAGCTGAGGAAATCTGTCACTTCACCACTCGCATTCTGCAGGGGACGAGAGGCCAGGTCCTTGTGAGTGGCACCAGGCCCCGGGACAAACTGTTCTCCACACCTGCACCCTGCACCAGGCAGCTGTGTCCTCTGGCCAAGTGGACACAGGGAGGAAACACAGTGGTTCAGGGCACTGCGCAGAGCCAGGCTGGGCAGCGGGCATGGATGTCTGGCTACATCACCTCTAACCTCTGCTTCCTCTTCTCATTTGCTTTTGTTTTGATACCAGGCCTCACTATGCTGCCCAGGGTGGCTCTGAACTCGAAGGACTGATTTTTCTGTCTCAGCCTCCCATGGGGCTGGGACTGCAGGTGTGTGCGGGGGGACCATCCTGGGCCCTCTCCTGTGGCTCACACCCCAGGCACACACAGCTCTGGTCTAAGCTGCAATTCCCGGTGCAGAGGGGTTTGCGGGGTCACTCAGGCAGGCCGAAGGCACCTTCACTGACCATGAGCTATGGCCTGGCTTCTGGAAAAGCAGGACTCACCTCCACCACGAAGGTGTCAATGATGTTCTCCTGGGGGTAGAACCAGTGCTCTACCTCCTCCTGGCTCATGACTGGTGTGAGGTGGAACTGCTTCAGGTACCTGGAGAGCAGCTGGTGCACTGCTGGAATGTCCTTTCTTTCCATTGGTCGAAGCCCGGCTGTCTTAGGAGTCTAGATGAAGGTGGAGGCAGGGTATGAAACATGCCTGTCACTGGGCCTGTCCTTGGCGTGGCTGCTATGTGTGTCCTCACCTTGTGGCTGGGTCCTCCTGCATTCCTGTTCCATTCCCCTTTGAGCCAGGACCTCCCACCCTGCAAACCGAGCTGGCCACTTCGGCTGTGTCTGAGGATATCCAGTCCTCCTAGCCCAGTGATTCTCAAAAGAAGCCATGCTGTTCCCACAGAGATACAGGACAACATCCGGTTGTTGGTTTCTGGTTATTGCAGCTCAGGGAGGGAGCTACTAGTGTGGACAGCGTAGAAGCCATCAGCAGTGTGCAGGCTGTTCCAGCACTGGGAGTTGTCTGGTACCCCTCTACCTTGGACTACAGCTCAGCCTGTGCCCTGCTGCTCTGTCTTAGGAACGTGTGACCCTGTGGACCTGCCACAGAACTGAACAGTGCACAAAGGTGCAGCTCAGCCAGACTGAAACCCGGGTGGCCTCTCAGTGGCTTTGCCTGGTGCCACCTGACACAATCACTCCACAGGAACAGGACTGCTGTGAAGTCTGCCTGTAACACCCCTGGGACCAGTCACTGTCCCGGAGCCCCAAGAAACATAGAGACCTCTTCTGGACTGAAGACAGCTGCCCTGGGTCTTCTCCCCACAGGGTCCAGACACGCTGGCTCCCCTGGCACCCTAACACTGCTCCTCGACCAGGATGAGAGGGCCTCAGGGTCCTCTTGGCCACAGCACTGTCAGATGGGGTGCTATCGCCCCATCCCTGGGGCACCAGCCCTATGTTTTAGTTTTTTTTTTTTTTTGTCTTTTTCCTTTTACCAGGGATCGAACTCACGACTGCCTGCTTACAAAGCAGGTGCTTATGCCGCTGAGCTAAATCCCCAGCCCACCAGCCCTATGTTGAGCGGTTGGTTCTGTCTGGTCCACAGGGCCAGCAGCAGCCCTCTGAGCAGAGGCTCACACAGCCAGACAGTGGCTAGAAGCACCCAAGAGAAGGGAGGGGTCGCAGGTTTTTTTTTTTTTTGTCTTTTTCTTTTTTATCGGTACTGGGAATCAAACTCATGACTGCCTGCTTGCGAGGCAGGTGCTTATGCCACTGAGCTAAATCCCCAGCCCCGAGGGGGTCGCAGGCTTGTACTTCAGATCCTATAGGGAGCCAGGCTGAGGCCCAGAGTCCATCATGGGCTTAGAAACCTCAGGCCCCAACAAGTTCCTGGCAAGCCCCAGACCCTGTTCTGGAAAAGTATGGCAAGTGGCAGGTCAGGAAGAGGCTATATCTTCCCACAAATGTTCCATTCAGGCTGTGGCTCCTGAGTGTAGGAGCTGGGGAATGAGTTGAGTGTAGCTGAAAACCAAGCGTACCTAACAGTTGGCACAGAAGCAATGGGCTGTGCCTAGCGGCTGTGGCAGCCTCCCTGGCCCCTCTGACTGCAGCCACACCTGCTGACCGCCCGGGTGTGCCTGGCCCGCCCCGCCCATGCCCAGGCACCACTGGCCTCTGGCAGCCGGTAGAGCTTCATGGTGCGCTGCATGGTCATGTTCCTGCTCAGGTGAGAGAACTTCACCTCAATCAGCTTCCGGGGGTTGAGGGACCGATGCCAATACCTGAGGGGACACAAACATCCTGTCTTCAGAGGACACTCACTGGTCAGTTAAGAGGCCAGCAGGTGACGCAAAAGATACACCAGGCCCTGCTAGCCAGGCTGGCAGGGATCAGGGCTGCACAGCTGCTTGCAGTTTCCCTTCTCCCCAGAGCCGCTCCTCGCCTGGACACAGCAACCCTCACTCCTGGCACAAGCTGGGGAAAAGCCAAGGGTTGCCCACAGGTGTGCCCGCCTGGCCACATCCCCAGAGCCTTGCCTTCCAGCAGGTGTCACCCACTGCTTCAGGCAGCTCTGGAGCGTAGTGTCCCCGGGCTGCACAGGGCCAGACAAGCTCTCTGGCCCCCATAATACTTAAGAAGCAATTGCGCCAACCATTTAAACATTCGGAATTGGCCATAAAAAATCCAGATTTAGCCTCATCTTTCAAAACAAAACCCAGCCCGTGGCAGGCGGCCTGCCCCTCTCAGGCATAGTGAGGACAGTAGCTAACACTCTTCCAGGACACGAGTTCTGCAGAGCTGGGAGCTTTTACCTGCAGGTGCCCACAGGTTTTGGCAGTACCACCCCAGCGGTATACACAGCCTGGAAGATGCCCTCTAGGTGCACCCGCCGGGTTATCTCTCGGATCAGGACTGGTGCCACCCTCTTGGAACGCAGCTTCTTGTGGACACACAGGAAGTTGATCTCTACCATCTTCTTCTCTCTGTAAGGGAGGGAAGGTACAAGGCTGCGAAACTGGCAGAGCTCTAAGAAGGCATGCCCCTCACCACACCTGCACGCAGCAGTCAGCACAGGACTCCCTCCCCGGCCAGGCTTCCGAGGGAAAGCAGAGGCCAGCAGCACCTCCCCAAGCATCCGCAAGAGTGGGCTGGGTCCTCCTGTGGCTCGCAGGAAAGCAGTACAAGAAACAGCCAGGGTATGCCAGGGGCGTTCCAGGGTGCCCAGGAATCTGAGTCCCACAAGAAACCACAGTGCTGAGCCAGAAGGCTGCGGCAGAGAGCTGCGGCACTGCCAAGAGAAGAGCGAGCAGCAGTGGGGGCCTAGTGAGTCTGCCCAGCACTGCCAGCCTCAGCATACCAAGAAGCACTGAGCGCGGCACCCCACATGACTGTGGCTGGGTGGCAAGCGTGGGTGGGCGCCACCAGAACTCAGTGAAGCACACGGCCCGGCAAGGAGCCCCTCTGTGGGCCCATTCTCCACCGAAGCCAGAGCTGCTCCCCTCCCCCAGACGGTGGTGACGGGGGCGCTGCTGTGCTTACGTGTCATAGATGTGGATGTTTGCTGGGATGGCACTAATGAAACCAACCAGTTTCCGACTTGAGACCACTCGAACCCCACAGTGCCACTGGGGCAGCCAGCCAGGTGGCCGCAAAGCCCTGAAAGAGAGACAGCTGCACTATGATACATGTGCAACAGTGGGGCCATCTAGGTGCCATAGCCACACACGATCCCAACCCAGTGCCATGCCTGCCCCGGGATGAGGGGCTGAGACTTCCTGGACACATGGGTGGAGGCACAGCTCCCCATTTCTGCTCACCCACCCCATCTGAGGCCTGCTCTGCAGACATCACATGCAACCATCTGCATGTACCTGCCAGTGTGGCCTAGAGGACGGGCCTCAGGCTCAAAGGGTCAGGTCTCATGGCTGGGCCGACTGTGCCCCAGAGCTGTGATGTACCTGCTGCTCTGTTGGGAGTCTCTCTGCTGGCTCATCCTCCCGCTCCCTGCCAGCCTGGCTGTATCTTCCTGGCTATGAAATGTGGCCCAGGCAGGCAGAGGTCTCAGTCACACAAAGCCATTGCCACATAGCTGCACGACCATGGAGAGCACACACAGAGGGACCCTCCTGTCAGCCTGCAAACCCTCCTGCCCTCCCTTCCCACCTAGCAGATGCTCTGCTGTGCAGTGGGGTCAGCTCTGCCAAGGGCTCCCTAGGCAGACAGTCTGAAGTAAGAGCCTGTTCTAGCACCATTGAAAGCCGGGCAGCTATGGATGCACGAGCTCAGCACTGTACTCCCTCGAAGCTCCAGCTGGCTCCTGGCTGGGCACAGGTGCTGACTCCTGCTATGAGCTCCACAGAGCTCTCAGAGACCCTGGGCTAGCAGTGACAGGCGGTGGTGACATCCCCAGACCTTGCCCCACACACATTATCCTGGGATCAGGGCCAGGCCTCCATGGACTCCATTCCTGCCTTCACCCAGGACTTCACAGTTTCCAGAACCACAAGAAATAACTTTCCACTGTTTCTACATTAAACAAGCAACCAAACACCCAGGAGAAAGCCTCACCACTCACCACAGAAGGAACTCTGGGGAGTAATCAAATCGGAACATATTGTCGTCGTCTTCCACGTAGTTCTCGTTCAGCAGGGTATACAGCTCTTTCAGCTATGGAGAGATGGGGTGCTCACTGGGGGGACTCAGCTAGGTGGGGTCCAACTCCAGTGCCTTGCAGCTCTCAGCTTTACAGAAACTTGGAGTAAGCCACTGAGCACTCCTTCTGCACACACAAACCCTGTCCTCCCACTGGCAGAGGCCATTTTGGAATAAGAACTTGGCTCTGCAGGGAAACTGAGCCAGCAGCAGGTAGAGTCATGGATGACAGCAGAGCCAGTGGCAGCCGAGCCAGCTGTCACAGTGGAACCCTCTGTGAGCTGCTCTTGAGATGCTTGAGGGGAGACCTGCCATTGCTTGGCCTCCCCATGTCTGTTTTGTTTTGGTTTTTTTCCTGTCTTTTTAAGACAGGGTCCGTCTATGCAGTTCAGGCTGGTCTCGAACTCACAACGATCCTCCTGCCTCAGCTTCCCAAGTGCTAGGATTACAGGTGTGAGCCACCTCGCCTGGCTCATCATGTCTGGTTTTTATCTCCTGGCCCAGATAAAGGCCTTTCAACATTTTTCTACCTTCCCAGCCACCTCTGTCTGCTAGGCCAAGTTTACTATTAAAACATTTTGCTCATGGGCTGGGCGAATAGCACAATGGTAAGGCCCTGGGTCTGTACCACAGCATTATCAACATAAAAGAAATCTGTTCATGAGTCTTGTATGGTTTCAGCACTGGGGAGGCTGAGGCAGGATGGAGGAGCGGGGGAGTGGGATGCTAGTCAGGTGCCAAGACTGTGTGTGTGGTAGGGGCACCTGTGAACAGTCCGGGCAGCACAGCAAGGCCTGACTCTAAAAACTCTGTTTACATTTTCATCATTCTTTGTAGGGAAAACAAATCCCTTTTGTCAGAAGAAGGAGGCCATGGTGGAAGCGGGGAAGGACCCCAAGTAACAGCCTCAGCTTATTAGTTAGCTGGTAGACAAGGAGGAGGAAAAAAAAAAAGAGTGCGTGAGGAGAGTGCATCCCACTGACCACTGACCGCGGAGGCCAGGTGGCACATGCATGCCTGTGGTGTCATCGCTCTGGGACTAAAGCTGGAGGGCCAGGACCCAAGTTCACACCCTGCTGGGTAACTCAGTAACCTAGCAAGACCATATCTGGACTGGAGACGGAGCTCAGTATGAAGGCCTGGTGAGTCAATCCAGGAAGAATGATGACAAAAGGTATCCATATCAGGAGCAACTGGGTCCTCTCAGCCTCCCAGAAAGGACTAGCACTGTCTTCAGAGGGTCCAAGGTAGCCCCAGGCAACATCGGCTGCTGGGCCTACTCACCACTCCCCGGTCGCCCAGGTCCAAGGCGTCCCAGGTGAAGCCCTGGGGCAGGGTGTAGGGCTCCTGGCGGACATGGTCTTTGTCAGGTTCCACAGGACCATGGGTGTTCACCACTTCACCTGGAAAAGAACCCAGCCATAAGCCTTTTGCTTGCTCTAGGGAGGAGGAGGCATTCAGCTCAAAGCCTGACCAGGGGGAGTTCCTCTTGTCCCCAGGAGCCCATAGCCCAAGAACACTCTGTGCTTGGCAGCCCATTCATTCTCCTGCTCCCTTTTGTCCCTCAGCTGAGCACCAATGCATGGTGAGACCTCAGGACCATCACTGTATCCAAGGAGGCTCATTCCTGGGACTCCTTCTAAGTCTCCCCTGGCTTCCCAAGTGGCAGTCACTGATCTCTCCCCTCTGGCTGTCTGCCTTCCAGGGACTGTGAAAAATGCTGTCATGCCGTGGGCAGGCTGCCAACCCCGGTGGGTCTGAGTAGTACCAACAAGGCCGTCAACAGTAAGCACAATGCGCTGGCCTCTTCCTGGCACCAGGCACAATCCTGGCCCCATCAGCCTGGCTTCCAGCAGTGTGTCCCTGAGCGTTCAGAGGCCACAAGTGCCTTTGGGCTGAGTCACTGCCTGTAGGGAGCTGCCGGGAAGGCCACTCCCCAGCTAGCTCACCCATCCCCATGAGTGTGGAGGCCGGGAGCAGAGTGGGAACTGCACGGAGGAAACCAGGAGGGTGAATTCTCAGAGGCCAGCTTATCTGCAGGGAATGGATAGCAGGGTGACATCTTCAGGTCTGCATTTCACATGGAGCACCAGTGAGTGCTGTCAGCTATTGACACACATACAGTGCCTTCCTTCAATGCTCCTGTGAGAAGTAGCTCTGGCAAGGCAGCCAATTTCAAGGAACACCAAGCAGCACAGCCAGCTCATCTTGCAATGGACAGAGTCAAGAAGTGTTCTACTTAGACCTCTTACTAGGCCCCGCAGCCTGGCTTCTGGCTGTTCCTTCCAAACCGTGCCCCACTTAGGAGTGTCCCGCTCTGGGCAATGGCCCACCTTCTAGTGGCCAGGGCTCTTGAGTATCACAGCAGTGCAGGGGTGGCAGGTGGCCCTACAAGGACATACCAAGAATTCAGGTATCCCAAGGTGCCTGGCACTTGCTTGAGTTAAGAAACCCCGGCTTTCAGTGGGTCTCCTGCTGTACAGCTTTCCCTACAATTTTCTACCCTCCATCATCAAAGACCCCAAACCAGGCATGGCAGTGCATCCATGAAGGGACTGGGAAATCAGCCCAAAGTGGACAGTGGAGACAAGGAGAGTGGTGAAGCTTCTCTCTCCGATCCACTGCAAAACAAGGCAAGGGTGAGCTCTTGTCCTCCCCGTGGTGACTGTTTTAAACTACTCCAAGGTGGCCAAGCTAAGGCTACAACAAATTTCTGCTTTCTTGTACAACAGGGAAAGAATGTCATGATCTGGAGAGGGGGATGCAAGTTCCTTTGGGCCACACAACTATTACACAGATAAACACTGAATTAGAACTTTCCCATGAAGGTGGGGTGCTATGAACCAGGACCCTTGATTTCTTTTTTTGTTTGTTTGTTTTTTTTTGTTTTTGTTTTTTCCTTTTTATCGGTACCGGGGATCGAACTCACGACTGCCTGCTTGCACGGTAGTCGCTTATGCTGCTGAGCTAAATCCCCAGCCACAGGACCCTTGATTTCACAGGCAACAGCTCCTGACAGGTGGAAAGATTAGGGCCAGCTGCAGGCCACAGCAGTGCTCCATCCCAGAGACAGGACTTTCTGCAGGCCACCTCACTACCAGTGTCCCCACCACAGGCTGCACAGCAGCCCCAGACCATGAGCAACTGTACAGTCTGCTCGTCAGCCTGCCAAGAACCAAACTGCAGACCTCTCCACGTCCAGGCAGGCAGTTATGAGCCTGAAGAGGCACAGAAGTCTGCTGGTCCCAGTCTGCCTCTGTGAAGACCAGAGCAAGACCATCTGCTTGCTGAAACCCTAAAGTGGTCTGCAAACTCACAAGGTGGGGCAGCTGCCACAGCAGCCCACAGGCCTGGGCTAGTGCCAGTGATAAAACATTGCTTCCTGATGCCTTGCCCCAGAGACAGCAGCCCTGGGGCCCAAGGCCTATGGAGGCCTTGCTGGGCCATGTGGATAGGGGTTCTGGCATCCAGGCCCATGCACACCCTTGGCAGAGGCCTGCATCCCTCTCTTGGTCTCAATGGACTGGTAGTCTGCATCCACTCCACCACAGGGCCTCTCGAAGGTCTGCAGCAGGGAGGTTTGCGTACTCTTGCGCCACTCCCATCCTGACTGTCCCCAGCTTAGGATCTTTCGACTTCACAATGATGCAAAAGCAAAAACACTCAAGGGAACCTACACTTCAAACTGTGAATTTTAATCTTACCCTGGTCTAGTGAGATACCATGTAATACTCTTGTGATGTAGCTTCCCGTCAGCCAGACAACCTCAAGGGAAGACCTGACACCCACAGTGCGCTAGCTGTGATGTCTGGGACAGTTGATGCATTTCTGACTCAGTCTCCTCTGATAGTAACCCATGGTGACCTGAAGGACACCTGTTCAAATGCGGCAGAAGAAATCTCTGTGGAGACTCCCCCTGGCACTGCTGCCTTCTCTGCTTGATCTCTGGCTTGGCCTGCCCGGCCCGGCCAGGTCTCACTCTGTTTCTGGTGGGAAGCATAGCCATCAGCAACCCAACAGTTGCCTACACTGGGCATCAGAACAGACTTCCGAAACTCTCCAGGCCACAAGGGAAACTAGGACTGAGTGCTTAATGGGCCCAGAAATATCCTGTCACTTGCAGTTCAGTCCTGTTAGGCACCCCGAAGCCCTTTATGGATCCAGCACACCTTTCCCAGGCTGCTGCTGAATCCTATACTCCAGAAGCAGGGTACAATGTCACACTGCTTTGTGTGTCAGCTGGAAGTGGGAGGAGGCCGGGATGTGCCCAGCCCAGGATCACACACTGCAAGATGAAGGAGGCCATCTAGAATGTTAAGCAGAAGACAGCCTCGTCCCACAGGAGCAGTCCACTGCTCTTCCCTGTGGACTGAGGGTCTCAGAGCAGTCACATGCTCGAAGTGTGTGCTGTTGCGAACGATGACCTCTCTGAACAAGTTTCCTATCTGCCTCTGGGAATCTAGCCACACTAAAACCACCACCAAAGCCGGGCATGGTGGTACACTTCTGTCATCCCAGCACTTGGGAGGCTAAAGTAGGAGGATTGTTGCAAATCAGACACCAGCCTGGGCTAAAAAGTGAGCCCAAGGCCAGCCTGAACTGCATAGCGAGACCCTGTCTTAAAAAGACCAAAAAAAAAAAAAAAAAAAAAAAAAAAAAACCAAAACCAAAACCAAAAAACCCTAAAAAAAAAAAAAAAAATAACACCCCAAACCGAAAAACTACACCACCGCCAAGGATCTACAGGCCTCTCCTGGCCTCTTGTGGCTCAGCACTGGAGCCCTCACAGGCAGACACATGCCTCCCTCTCACCAGGGCGAACACATACCCAGTTTGGGGACAGGTTGCGTATCCCAGAACTGGTAGCTTCGTTTGCTGGCCTCCTCCATGGTTTTGGCAGGTCCCTGGCCTACTGAAAACAGCTCAATGGCCTTCTGTATTTCCTGGATCCTTTCTGCTGGCAAAGAGTTCATCTGGGGAAGACAAAATTGGGGGGAAAAAAAGGTCCACTGTATTAGTAAGACTTCTACTTACTCACTGAGCTTGGGAAAGAAGCATCAACTCAAAGAAGAGATGAGGGTCCCCGTCCTAATCACAGGTCCAGTACATTACCGCTCAAGACTAACATCTGTGGTTTTCTCTCCTTAAGGCTTTGTTGTTTGATAACAAAAATAACACATGCTCAGGGCAAATTTTCAAACAATGCAGAAATGTGTAAGAACACACAAGAAAGTAACCCTAACAATCTAATCCATCAAATATAATTTCTTGGGGCTGGGGATTTAGCTCAGTGGCATAAGCGCCTGCCTTGAAAGCAGGCAGTCGTGAGTTCGATCCCTGGTACCGATAAAAAGGAAAAAGAAAAAAAAAAAAAAAATTAACAAATATAATTTCTTTCTTTTCTGAGTTTTACTACGTAGTCCATACTGGCCTTGGACTCACTATGTAGCCCAGCCTAGCCTCGAACTTGTAGCAATTCTCCTGCCTCAGTCTCCTAAGTACTGGGACAGCAGGTAGGTGCTAGCACACCTGGCTTCAAATACAATTCTTGTCACCTGCAGTCAATCTAAGAAGGTAAGAAGAGACAGATATAATTCCAGACCTTTTTGAATGAAAATTCCAAGTGCTCACACACCAAAACCAAAACTGGGTTATATGATATCCTACAACCTATGCTTTACAAACTAAATTTTAGCTGTGTGTGATGGTGTAAATCTGTAATTCCATGTACTTAGGAGGCCAAACTAGGAGGGGATTACGAGTTCAAAGCTGGCCTGGGCAACTCAGCAAGACCATGTATCAAATTAAAAAATAAAAGTGCTGGAGAAGCCAAAGGTATAACTCAGTGGTACAGAACTTACCTAGCATGTACAAGGTCCTGGGTTCAACCCTCAGCATTGTAAAACAAAACAAAACAGAACAGAACAGAACACAAAAAACCCTAGGGAGTAAGCTGAGACATATATATCTTAGCACTCCCTGGCTTCAATTCCCAGTACAGGAAAACAGAAACAAAAACTGTCAAGTCTTAAACTAGGCACCATGGTACATGCCTGTAATCCAGTTACTTGGGAGACTAAGGCACAAGGGCCCTAAGTTCAAGGCCAGCCTGAGCAAGTTAGTTTTTAATTAATTTTTTTTTTTTTTTAGTTGGGGGGTCTCAAAAATAGTTCAGGGTGGTCTTGAACTCACAGGATCTTCCTGCCTCAGTCTCTCAAGTGCTGGGATTACAAGTGTGCACCACCATGCTAGGCCCTGCCTGAGCAATTTAGCAAGATGAAGATGTTATGTTAGAAAGGGATGGGGTATAGCTCAATGACAGAGCATGTGCTTGGCAGGGGGGAGGCTCAGTTCAATCCCAGCACTGCCTTTAAAAAGACAGTGTGCTTAGCGGCATAAGCATTTACTTGGCGAGCATAAGGTCCTGAGTTCCATTCCTGGTACTGGGGGGAAAAAAAAAAAAAAAAAGACACTGTGTTACCAGGCCTGTAATCCCAGCACACAGAAGCCTGAGGCAGGAGAATCACTGTGAGTTTGAGGCCAACCTGGGCTAAAGTGTGAATTCAAGGCCAGCCTGTATTGCACAGTGAAACCCTGTCTCAAAACAAAACAAAACAAAACTACTGAGCCTTAGACTCTCCCAAATGAGGGCACAGTGCAGCTTCTTTGAACAACCCGTGCTCATGCACAGACTGGCCTGCTGCTGACAGGCGTCCTGGTGGTTCTGTTGTTTATTTTTACGAACAACGGAGCAGTGAATTTTCTTGTATTTCTAGTTTTGTTCCCTCAGTTATGTATTTATGTAGGGTAAAGTTTAAGAAAGAGGCTGGGTCAAAGAATATGTGTGTTTCAAATTATAAAATGTGTCATTATCTTGCTCTCTAAATGGAGAATATCAAATAATCCAATGAATACCACAGGGAAAAAAAATCTATTTCTCAGACCTTGGCTGTTATGTGTACCAAACTTTCATGGCTGTTAATCTAGGAGAGAAAAATGTTTTAATTTTTGTGTCTTTCATGTTGGTTTCTAGCATCCTTTTGCTTACTTGTCAATTAAACAGGAGTATTTTTTCTTTATGAACTCCCTCCTCATTCTTGGCTCCTGGGTCTTACACAGGCATAAGGTAAGGACAGTTCCACTCCACCTCAGGGAAAGCGAACAGGGGCCAGGGCCGCTGGGCAGGGGTGGGCGCTGGACGAGCGTGTGCGTGCAAGGCCCTGGTCCATCCCCAGTGACACACATCGAGGAGTATAAACCCATACAAGTGATTTTCTTCTTCCTCTTCATGCTGTTTTTACAAATCATACTCTCCACAATGAGTGCTGCCACTCTGATAAAGAATTTGAAAAAAAAAAAAGAAGAAGAAGAAAGCAGAAGAGCTGCTGTGTGAGTGGTGTTTGGGTAAAAATATACTGCTGGGACAAGACTCAGTAACACAGTACAGGCTTAGCTTGTACAGAGCCGAGTTCCGACCCTAGCGCTAAAAAATAAAATAATTTCAAAGTTAGGCTTGAGCTCCAATCCTCCCATGAACATCCCCTACAGCCAAGAACTGGGCGAGAATTCATGACTAGAAGCCTTGGCAATTACCTCGCTCATGTGTGACAACAACCCCAGTCTGCGTGCGAAACAGTGGAGTTTTAGGGCTAGTTTCGATGAGGTCTAGCCTGGCAAGAGTGCAGCTAACCCATGGTCAACAAGTATGACGAGTTTTCCACAATGGGTTTGGTATCAGAAATAGAATTACTGCTGGGGATATAGTTCAATGGCACAGTACCTTCCTGGCAAGCACAAGGTTGTGAGTTCAATTCCCCAGTACAAAAAAGAAAAAGAAAAAAAAAAAAAAAAAGAAATTACCCGAGGCTACCTCAGGCAGAAGATCCAACCCGGGACAAAAATCTGAGGCATAAAGCACAGCATGAACCCACTGCAAACTGCTTCTGATATGATTCTAGAAGGGGACATGGCTAGGCTGGCAACATGTTCCTGGGCCTACCTTGAAGAGGACATCATGTAGCCTGAAATAAAAGCTTTCCTTCCAGTGTTGTCTCTCACTCTCTTTTTTTTTTTTTCTTTTTGTCTTTTTGAGACAGGGTCTCACTATGCAGTTCAGGCTGTCCTTGAGCTCACTTTGTAGCCCAAGTTAGTCTTGAACTTGCAACAATCATCCTGCCTCAGCCTCCCAAGTGCTGGGATTATAGATGTGTACCACCACGCCCATGCCCAGCCTGCAATAGTTTCTTTTTCTTTTTTTTTTTATTTTTGTCTTTTTCTTTTTTATCGGTACCGGGGATTGAACTCAGGACTGCCTGCTTGCAAGGCAGGCGCTTATGCCGCTGAGCTAAATCCCCAGACCCGCAATATTGTTTCTTAAGGAACAAAACCACCCATACTAGACCTCTTGGTTTTAGGTCAGTGCACTGGTCTTGGCTTGTCTGCTCCAGGACCCTGGGAACTTCTGGTTTTCATGACAATGACTACAGCAGTTGAGGAAATGATTGCAGATAGGCAAAGATCTACCTTCAGAAAGAGGGCTAGTTCGGCGTGATAGCACATACCTGTAATCCCAGCACTCTGGGAGGCTGAGGCAGGAGGATCACAAGTTCCAGACTAGCCTAGGTAACTTCCCAAGATGCTATCTCAACATAAAAAGGAGTGAGGATGTTGCTTACTGGTAGAGTACTTTCCTACCATGTATGAAGCCCTGGGTTCAATCCCTGTACCATAAAAGGAGGAAGAGAAAGGAGAAAAAGGAGAAGCAGAAGAGCACAGAGCTTTTCTACACACAGCAGTGGGGAACAAGGCAGAGAGGACCAAGAACAGCGCTCTGGGAAAAACGGCTGTCACCATCTGCACCCACAGAGACTGGCCTTGTGCATACGCAGGACGATGCACTGTGCCCGGGTGTCCCAATTGCTGGGTCTTTTAGGGGACAGAGAGCAATTTCTTCACCTCAGTGCAGGGCAGCAGGGCTCAGCACTGGGATCTCTCCCGTCCTGCAGCAGCATCAGGAGGGGCTGCCTCTACATTACCCCACACGCTCTGCTCAGGAAACAGCCACAGAGAACACAGCCTCCTTGTTACCTTCACAGGCTGATCCTGGGCTGACTCTGTCTCACTGGCTTTTTCTTTCTTCTTCTTTTGTTTCTTTTTCTTCTTTTTGGCTCCAGTGTCATTGGCTGGACTCAAACCACTGCAAGACAAAGTAAACTCTGATGTGTGGTTTTTAAAAGTCATTTGCTTTGAGCTACGGGACAAAGGGCTTTCTGTGGAGCAGCCATCCCTCATCAGGCCTGCTGGCTTCAGAACAGCCTAGAGGCTCGGGTGCTAGAGGGGCATTTGGAGGACACCGGTGAGCATGGCTCTCCTGTGGAGCTACCCTCTACTCCCAGGGTGGGCGCTGTGTGAGGCCTGGCCTCTGCCTCCAAGGCCTCTTCCACCCTTGCTGACTTTCTCTGCTTGTTTTCTGTAGACTGTTGGGCTGATGACACCAAGGTAAATGACAGCTGACCAAGGGCATCTGTACCACTGCCACTTCCCTAAGCCCTGTGTTCAAAGGGTGATAGCCATGGGCTTCAGCCTCCCAAATTCTGGGTGAGGGCTCTTGGGAGAAACAGACTCAATCCAGCTTAGCCACATCACCACATAGCTCTGCCCTGCCTCCCCGAAATGCACTAAGTCTCCCATTTCTCCAGCTTGACCTGAAGCATGGGCAACAGCAGGCCCATGTTTCTGTGACCTGGGTCCACAATGGCCCGTCGGCAGGGACCCCCCAATGTGGCCTGCAGGCCTGAGAACAGCATCAACTTGAGCACAGCACTCAAGTCCCGAGAAGATAAAATCTCAGCCCTGGCAGCTCCTGTCAGGAGGAGACACAGACATGCAAGAGTGGACAGGTGCCAAAGGGACTTTCCTCTGACCACGCAGCAGAGGTCCCTCAGCCACACTAGAGTCAGGGGTACAGAAGCATATGCAAGGCCTGGGCTCCATCCCCGAGGGTGAGGAATGGGTAATCTAAAATCACATACTTCCCCCTTTTCCCCACTTCACCTTCCTGCCAGTCCTGCTGCCACCATGCACTCTCCAGCAGACTTACTACGCACCATGAGGCCCACACCTGGCCATTCTTCCTTATCACACACAAGAACCTGAGTTATTCTGGCCCACTGGACTGTAACGTCTGCTAAGCTGAGCTGAGCCAAGACAAGAGGACTTTACCAAACTGTAGGAGACCTCATGGGACCACGAGCCAAGGGACTTTATTGCCCCATGGCCCAGAGGCCTCACAGACATCAGAGGCATCAGCAGCCCACAGACCTTGGGAGACATCAGCAGAAGCAGGCAGGCAGAAGCTCAGCCAGCAAGGAAGCCGTCGAAATACTGGTGTTGACCATACTTGGTGACCAGAGCCTGCTTCCACGCCCAAATGGTGCATCAAATGTCTTCAGAGAACAGACTCGGCTCCCTGGACCGTAGAGACAAGTCAGGGTGAGGGGTCCCTTGCCTCGAGCAGGTGGGGCCCATGTCCCATCTGGCTGGAAGCTGCTCTAGAAGATGGGACTTCCTTAGCTCCCTTCAAAGATTTCCCAGGACGAGGGCTCTCAGGGAGCAGCAGTACAGTTAGACACAAAGGAGCCGAGTTACTCCCTTCCTCTCATTCAGCCATAAGCACCACACTACCCAGAGGCTACCCAGGCTTCCATAACCCTAGGACAGAGACATTGTGTGAGTCACCACTGCCTTCTCCCCATCCACCCACCCTGAAGCTCACCCGCTGAAGCTTAGGAGGTCAGCAGACTGCTGCCCTCAGAGAGAAGCCACGGAAGGTGTCTTGGGTCAGTGGTGTCCAACCTTGAGTTACTGAGTTTTTTTCTAGCCCTCCTTCGACCTTCTGCTTATTCCTGATGCTGTCTGTGACCTTTAGTAAACTTACTATACACAACAACACACCCACTGCTACAGGTTTGTTTCCCATAGGGACAGGTTTTCCTACGTAGTTCTGGCTGGTCTCAGACTTGCTGTGTGCTTAGGAATGGCCTTGAACTCACAATCCTCCCAAGTACTGGGATCACAGGTAGACACTACCATGTCCAGCTTGCCTTTTTTTTTTTTTTTTGCCACCCTGAGGATGAATCTAGGGCATACAAGCACTCTCCCAGAACTTGCCATGTACTTTTTAAAAATGCCTTCAGAGTCATGCCTTCCTACTCCTGGCACATATGACTTAGGGTGCTGGGAAAAGGTGGTGAAGCCAGGGAGCTCTCTCTAGTAAAGGCTGGGGCTCCCTTGGTCCAGTATAAGGGCTTCCACGTAATCTGCGAGTGCTGTTAATGAGACTCAAGGTACTTGGAGGTCACCTGGGACCTCTTAAGGGAGAACAATCACCTGCTTAGAAACAGAGACCCAGGACCTTGGCAAGGAGTAGGCCCCAGGCTGAGATAACTTTTCTTTCCTAACGACCCACAGACCTACCAATAGCTGTCAAAACTATACATGATTGTCATACTAGGAGACATTTTCACTTCAGGCCCAGGATCATGCACGGTGTGGTAAGGATTAAAAACAGACTGATGAGCTGGATGTGGTGGTCCACCAGGAGGAGGATCACTAACAGCTTAAGCCATTTTGTCTTTTTTTTTCTTTTTATCGGTACCGGGGATCAAACTCACGACTGCCTGCTTGCAAGGCAAGTGCTTATGCCATTGAGCTAGATCCCCAGCCCCTCAGCTTAAACCATTTTGGACTACACAGTGAGTTCAAGGCCAGGCTGAACACAAAGAGGCAACCCAGCAAGCTAAAATCACAAAATGGCCTCAACTGGGATCTGGAGAAAAGCTAAGCACCACCAAAGCCAGGCTAATCCACCAAGACTTGGCTCTTCCTGGAGATGATGTCTTGCTATGCTTGTGATGCTCAGGTCAGGCTCCAAGTTCACGTGGGAACCTGGCTCGGCCTCCTGAGTGACTGACTACGGGGACAGACTTAACTCGCCAGGCCTTGTCATTTTTTTCTGTTTCTTTTGTCTTTTATTTATTTATTTATTTATTTTTATCAGTACTGGAGATTCTTTTGTCTTTTAGAGTGCTGGGATTATAGAGGTGCACCACCACTCCTGGCCTTTGCATCTTTTTTTTTTTTGAGATTGAACTCATGGCCTTGCCCTTGCCAGGCAAGTGCTGTGCCACTGAGCTATATCCCCAGCCTTTTGCATCTTTTTTAAAAGAGACCTGAGACTTTATGCACCTGAGGTCACAGCCCTCAGAAGTCTAAGGCAAGAGGACCCCTCAAGACTAGGTCAGGCCTGCCTGAGCAACACAGTGAGATGTCTGTCTCTACAGAGATATAAAAAAGAGAAGCAGAGAGGAGAGGACAGGACAGGACAGGAGGGGAGAGGAGAGAAGAAAAGAAAAGAGTAGAGTGTCTTGAAGTTCCTGGTGAGCATCCTAGAACTCAGCACATAGCAACACAGCCTCTCAAGAGATCTCAGCCAGTCACCCTGATAGTCTTCAGAGGCTGGCCAGAACCAGAGACCACAGTACAAGTCTATTTGTTCTACTGGATTCCAAAATAAAGAGCAAGCAAGGCGTGGTGGTGCATACTTGTAATCCCAGCACTCTGAAGGCTGAGGCAGGAGGATCACCACAAGTTCAAGGCCACCCTCAACTATATAGAGAGTTCAAAGCCAGCCTGGACTATATACAGGCTATATGTATCTTTAAAAAACAAAAACAAAACAAAGAGCACAAGATGAGGTGAAGTTTTTTTTGGGAAATTTTGAAATTTGCACTCTAATACAAATTGATCAGGTCAAGTTACCAATGACCAAGCAAAGACAGACAAATGAGTAGTGACAGATTCAGGAACAACGAAAATGGTAACCAATAAGCTGAGTGTAGACTGAAACTCCAAAAATTGTAAGCTACATAAATTTTTCCTTCCTTTAAAAAGGGAGGGGGTTAATTCAGCAACACTAGTGTCTGCCTGGTAAGTGCAAAGTTATGAGTTTGATTCCTGATACTGAAAAGAAAAAAGAAGACTAATCAAGAAAAAAAAAAAAGCTTGAATCAGGAGGCTCCCGAGTTCGAGCTCAGCCTCGTCTCAGAACAGAGGCCGCAGCAGAGGGCTCTTCCTCTGCACCACACGGGGGAAAAAAAGGTTATGGGGGCTAGGAAGTTAGCTCAGTGGCATAAGCGCCTGCCTCGCAAGCAGGCAGTCGTGAGTTCGATCCCCGGTACCAATAAAAAAGAAAAAGACAAAAAAAAAAAAAAAAAAAAATGAGAAGAAAAAAGAAAAAAAAGGCCCATGATTCTAAGTTCCAACATCAGCACCGCAGTGGACCATGGTAGGCGCACAGTCGCAGTCAGGACCCAGGTATGAGATCAATTAGTGCAGTGTGGGCGAGGCTGGCATGAAGGACTCCGAACCCAGGTCAGCCTGTTACAGCGCAGGAGGAAACCAGGTGAGGCAGGTGGCCACCAACTAACAACTAGGCTCTTGGGACAGCCACACATCTGCACACCCTCCCAACTGCTGGTTGTGCCCCTTGTGCTTTGAGCAGTCTCCAAAGCTAGAAGACTACTCTTGCTTTGGTTTTTCCAGACAGGGTCTCACTGTGTGTTCCAGCCTGGGTCTGAACTCACGGTGTTCTCTCCCCTCAGCCTCCCCAGCACTAGAGTGTCCACCACCACCACACCAGGCAGAAGCATATCATGGCATCAGCAGGCCTCGGACTGGCATCTCCCCATGTGGCAGGAGCAACACTGCAACCCAGAGGACTGCCTCTAGTTTCTAGCTCTCATTCAGGGGGTATGCAGTGCTGACACAGAGGGTCACAAGTTTGAGGCCAGCCTGAACAACGCTACAGGTCCTCCCCATCTCAAAATAAGAGAGAAGAGCCAAGTGGTAGTTCACACCTGTATTCCTAGAACTTGGGTGGCTGAGACGGGAGGTCAAGAGTTCGAGGGTAGCCTACTTTTTCTCGAAACACCAAAAATAAATAACAACAAAAAGCTGGAAAAGAGCGGGAAGGGTGGGGATTGATAGATTTTGCCAGCCTGGGGCTTAATGATCTCCACCATGACATCAACCCAACTGGGCACTGGCCCAGGGACAATTTTTCTCCCCAGAAGCAACTTCTGTGCTGTTTTCCTAGTTCCAGAAAAAAACCTCCTGTTCCCTTTTCTTCTAGGTGGA